CATGATAAATCCTACCGCGGATCACTACTCAGTGGTAAAAACGAAAAAATTTCTGATATACACGACAACACAGATGCATCTCAAAAGCATTATACTGAGGGGAAGAATTCAGACACAAATGAGTACATCCTGTACGACTCATTTTTTTTGGAGGAATATTAGCCCTGAGCTAACATCTGCCACCAATCCTCCTCTTTTTGCTGAGGAAGACTGGCCCTGAGCTCACATCTGTGCCCATCTTCCTCTACTTTTTGCATTACACAGGTGTATATATTTGTCAAAACTCAGTGAACGGCAAACTTAAGATTTGTGCGCTTCATTGTATGTAATTTTTACCTTAGAAAAAGCGAACTATAAGCAAACATGATTAATGATAGGCACGCCGAAGTGTTTAACCATGAAATGTACTGATTTCTGTAACTTCTTCTGAAATGCGTAAAATTAGATGAGTTGAATGGATAAATGGTCAGATATGCGATAAAGCAAGTATAGTAAAATGCTAATTGTAGAATTCAGTTGGATATATACACAGTTCACTCTATACTCCTTTCAACATTCCTGTGTTTGAATTTTTTTGTTTTTTTGAGGAAGATTAGCCCTGAGCTAACGTCTGCTGCCAATCCTCCTCTTTTTGCTGAGGAAGACTGGCCCTGAGCTAACATCCGTGCCCATCTTCCTCTACTTTATATGTGGGATGCCTACCACAGCATGGCTTTTGCCAAGTGGTGCCATGTCCGCACCCGGGATCTGAACCGGCGAATCCTGGGCTGCTGAGAAGTGGAACGTGTGATCTTAACCGCTGCGCCACTGGGCCGGCCCCTGAAAACTTTTATAATAAAATGGTGGTGGGGGAGAGAAAAAGTGTAGCCATTCACATCAACAAGTACTTCTCTATTGTCTCATTGTTACCTTCTCATTGTTATCACGTCCTTGCTCTGTCATCAGAGCTGAGTTGGCAGCAAAATTGCTGGCTTGTCTTCCACTGTCCCCAGCTGCTCATCCTGGGGAAAGTGGCCAGGAATACAGACCGTGTGTGGTTTACGGCCACAAAGTTTTCCCACTGCAAAGTGGGCTGGTCATGCAAAAGTCACCAGCCCCAGGGGGATGGGTAGGGGTGGGGCTGGGGGTGGGGGTGCCCCCCTCCCCTCTGATGTGCTGGTTCTCCCATTTCTGCCTCTCACAGCTTCTTTGGGTTTATTTTCTCCTACTGGAGGAACACATGTTCCAGTAGCTTCCTGGGATATGGTGTGTGGGAGGTAAAATTTTGGAGAACTTTACTTGTCTGAAAATGTTCCTACTTCACCCACCCACTTGATCAATAGTTTGGCTATGAGTAGAATTCTTAGCTGAAAATTATTTTCCTTGGGAATCTTGAAGGCCTTGCTCCACCAGTGTAACTGCTGGGAAACCTAAAGCCGTTCTATTTCCTGTTTCCTTATGACTCTGTTTTCTCTTTGCAAGCTTGTAGGATCTTATCTGTTCCCATTGTTCTGAAGTTGCACAATGATGTAATCTGGGGTGGATCTATTTTCACTCACTGGGCTGGCACTTTCCATCCGTAAACTCCTGTCCTTCGGGTCTGGGAAATGTCCGTAACATTTTCACGGATGTTTTCCTCCTTTGCTCTTCCTTTGTTCTTTCTTTTCTATTATAGGATATGATTGGGATGGTTGGACCTCCTGGGCTGCTTCTCTAACATTCTCACCGTTTCCTCTTTTCTCTCTCTCCACGTCTTTTGGGTCTTCTGAGAGATTTCCTCAATTGGACTTTCTAACCTTTCTGTTGAGTTTTTCATTTTTGCTAGCTTGCTTTTAATTTCTGAGCTTTTTAGAAAATCATCGGAATGTTGTTTTTTTAAAAAAAATAGCACAACCTTCTTATTTATGAACGAGTGATGTTCTCTTATCTGAAGCTACTGATAGCTTTTTCTTTTTTTGGGTTTCCCTCTCCTTGCCCTGTTCTTGTTTTCCGCCAATTTATTTATTTTGATTGTTTTGATTTCTAGCTTCTATTCTGGAGATCTTCCTTATATATCTTTTTTTTTTTAAGATTTTATTTTTTTTCCTTTTTTCTCCCCAAAGCCCCCCAGTACATAGCTGTATATTCTTCATTGTGGGTCCTTCTAGTTGTGGCATGTGGGACGCTGCCTCAGCGTGGTCTGATGAGCAGTGCCATGTCCGCGCCCAGGATTCGAACCAACGAAACACTGGGCCGCCTGCAGCGGAGCGCGTGAACTTAACCACTCGGCCACGGGGCCAGCCCCATTCCTTATATATCTTTTAATGCTTGGTTGTCTGTTGCTGATCAAGAGTGAGAAACTAAGCGTTAATAGGAAGCTCAGAAGGAGGGAGAGGCTTCCTGGAGCCCCCTCCCCATGCTGATGTGTGTTTGGTCTTTCCTCCTGGGCCAGACAGGTTCCCCAGACGAGAGCCCCCCACCTTCCACCCTCCTATTCTGAGGGAAGCTGTCAGCAGGAGCCATGAGGGAAGAGGTTGGAGGGGGTCAAGATTCAGCCTAGGGCCTAAATTCTTTTGTTTTCCAGGCCCTGTGCCTCTCTTCCAGAAGTGCCCGGTGCTGCCAGTTCGGTCCCAGCCCTCTGATGATTCCCTGGGGTAGATCTGATGTTGATCAGCTTTTCCACTGCCAGTCTAGCCGCCTAAATCAGTTACAACCAGTCTGTCCGCACCTTCCAGCTTCCAACATCTGTTGTCTCCTCCCCACTTCTTTCTGTTCTAAGATTATGTCTTTTTTTACGATTATTATTCCTTTTCTGAAGTTCTAGTGGGGTTTTGGTAGAAGTGAAATCGAATCTTGCATGCAATCCATCATGTTAATCTGGGAACACATATCAAATATTCATTTGCCTTTTACGCATCTCCTCGGCTAGAATGTAGGTCCCCTGAGGGCAGGGACCTTCCAAGACCTGGACCCAAATGAATGATTGACCTTGAATGAAGGACCTAGTAGGGTATAAATTGCATACATAGTAGGCACTTGATAAATAACTATGTAGCACATTCAGGAACACACATAGTCTGATATTTGTTTTTTTTAATTTTAATTTAACTTTTTTGGACCATTTGTTGCCACGGGGAACATTATAAACAGACTTAAACTTAAGGCCAACTTTAGAAAAGTTTTAAATTAACTCAGTTTTAACTTAAAGCTGATTTTCATATGTGGGTTGTACATTAATCGTGTTATTTTACACACAAACCTCTCGTATGGTGAACTTTCACTTAATCTGAATTTCTCATTCAGAGAAATAATGATCTGAATGTGGCTGCGTCAGGTGTTTGTTCAACAACTCATGTCATATCAGAATAAAGTCCACGCTCAAGGCAGCCCGTAATCCAGCCTGCAATGACCTCTCTGGATTCTAGCCCTGGAGCAGTGCACATGCCTGGCTCCCTCCGTGTCACATCTCAGGATGCCCCTGAGTCTCTAACTTTCAGGACTTTGTTCTCTCTGTGGAAAACTCTTTTCTTCTTACTTACTCCATCAAGACACACCAAAAATCCTACCCAGACCCATCTTTCCACTCTCATCTCTTTCATGAAAGCCTTTTTTTTTTTTTCTTAATCTTGAATATAGTTTTTTTTGCCTCCTGGTAAGCACCATATTTGTAGCCCTCTTAGCACACTGAGCACAGTGGGCTGGTATCCTGGCAACTGCATCCCTATCTGGTTCACTTCCTATCGGTCCATTACCAGCATTCGCGTTCAACGCGTTTGTTCAGTTGAATTAAATTATCGACCCGAGGCCTCCTCCCTTTTATTTGCTCCTGGTCTAAAAACATGAATGTAAGTACACTTGGGAGTTTAGGTTTGTCACAGTCCCTGGAAATTTCCATCAGCACTGTTGCCCTAGCATCCTTGAACCTTTAAGTTTTCTTCCTGGGAGATGGTTACGAACAGACCAAAAGGGAAGCTGTCCTTTGCCCTGGGAACACGTTTATTTTGAAACTACTGCAAGACAAACATGCTTAAAAAAAAAAAAAAAAAAACTTGTGTAGAAAAGGTGTGATTTCAGAAAACTGTTAGAATACTGAGCAACGGAGTGCGTTACGGGACGAGCAGACCTACAAGATGAAAAGAGCAGAAATCCACTCCCTCCCCTGGAGGGTCCACTCTCAAGCAGTCGATGGGAACGAATGCAGTAAAAAATCTAAAAGCTTTAAAAAAAACAAAATCCCAGTCACTCCATTTTGGGAAACGTCGTCCAAAGAAATGAGGCTGTAAAGCTTCTTGCGCAGCATCCCAGCATCGTTTCTCAAATGGGGACATTGAGAGGCACTGGTTAAATTGAGGCGCATGCGCATCACGGAACGAAGAGTAAGCAGCCTTTAAAAGTGTCCTAAACGATTCAGCACGATTTCTTAATTTTGTTTAAACATTTTTGCTCTGCACATAAAGAAATAACTGAGAGGAAATACACCAAAATATCGAACATTGTCTCCAGAACTTGGTGCAAAGGAAAAGGACACAGTAAACGCTCAATGCGTCCAAAACAATTAATTTTGGCTGCACGAACATCTGTTATCCCGGAATAATGGTGTGGTGGATGGTCTTCTTTATAGTTATAGGTTTCGAATTTTCTAGAAGGACCTCGTCAACACAGAAAATACAGATATCACATAAAGAGGACAGATGGACGTCCTTCGCACGGCCTCGGCGTGCAGTTGGGGGGCGCGCGGGGAGCGGGGCTCTGCACCCTAAGGCTCCCGGCGACGCCGAGGCCGAGGCCAAAGCCGGGCCGGGCAGCTTCCGCGCGCGCACAAAGATGGCGGCCGCCCCGCCCCGCCGCCCTCCGAGGCGCGCCCGCGGCCGGAGCCGAGCGCTGCCGAGCGCTGCCGAGCGCTGCCGAGCGCTGCCGAGCGGCCCCGAAGCCGAGAGGAGCCCCGGGAGGCGCGCGGGCGGGCGGGCGCGGCCCCGCCCCGGAGCCTGGGAGCGGCGGCGCCGGCGCGGGGGAGGGGCGGCCGGATGTGAGTGGAGCGGCCATTTCCTGTTTCTCTGCAGTTTTCCCCAGCTTTGGGTGGTGGCCGCCGCTGGCCTTCGGCTTCCAGTCGGCGGAGGGCGAGGCGGCGTGCTCCGCGGCCCCGGCCCCCCGCGCCCCGCCGCCCGCAGCTCCTCGCCTCCGCGGCCCCGCGAGCGGCCGAGATGCAGGCCATCAAGTGTGTGGTGGTGGGAGACGGGTGAGTGCGCGCCGAGCCGCGCGGGGGGCGCGCGGGGGGCCCGGCTCTGCGCGCGGGGGTCCGGGGGGCGCGGACGGGCTCCGGGGGTCTTTCCGGGGGCAGTCCCCCCGGACCGGGCAGGAGGGAAAGTGAACTCCGCCCTCGCCCCGCGCCGCCGCCCGCCTCGGCCTGTGGAGGAGCGGGGCTGGGAGCGCCGCCTCGTTCCCCAAAAGGACCCTCCCTGGGCTTTTCTGTGACCCCCCTGGAGCCCCCCGGAGAGCTTCGGGGGGCGGCGCCGCGCGGGTGGGCGACGTTTGCCGACTCCTGGCGCGGGCCGGTGCCGCGGCCCCCCATTGATGGACCAGCGGGTGGGGGATGTCTTCCGCGGGTGGTACTTCGCCACTTGTAGGATTTCTTCTTCTTCTTCTTTTTTTTTTAAATGATCCTTTTTGCTGTTTCCCTGGAGAAACTTTTCAGATTGTCACTGCGAGGAGCAGGGTGGGATCGAGACTGTTTTTGTCTCTGAACGTGATGTGGTCATTGAAAAAGGGGGGGGAAAAAAAGAGAGAGAGAGATGGGCCTTGGCTTCGTGCGTTCGGGATGGGATGTCGCGGAACAGGCTCCCGGAGCCGAGCTGCCCTGTGACTCAAGGCGTTTCTTTGCATGACTGTCTGCGCTGGGTCGGTCCAGGCCCTCGAGGAAGACAAGACTTGTCTTATGCAGTTTTTTTCTCCCTTGGAAACAAGCATCCCAGTGTAATCCGAGCAGAGTTGGGTGTCTCAGCGTTGCTCGAGCGGTGGAGCGTGAACAAGGAAGCTCCAGGAATTACTACCAGTTTCATCCAACTCGGAATGCAACTGGTGCATATTTTTTTGTTGTTGTTGTTGGAGTCTTGGAAAGTCGAAGGGAGGGTTCTGGCATCGCTGCTGCTTTTTGGTGGATAGTCCCCAAACTTGTCGTTCGGACTGAAGTTGCCTTTGTGCCTCGCAGTGGATTTGTGAATTCTCGGTCCCTGGAAGTTAGACGTTTGAAATGGTTTCTCTAACTAATTCAGATGCGGGAAGGACACTTGGACAACTGATTTTTTTTTAAAGATGCTGGTCTGTCGGGTTTGTCAGACTCCCAGATGTGGAGGATGGTTAACCCTTCGTGGTTGCATGTAATAACTAAAAATTGTTAAGGTTCACCCACTTAGGAAATATGTATGGTACTTTTTTGTTGTTAACCTTTAAAAGAAAGCTTTACTTTCACGTGGGGCAAAAATATCTAATTAGTTGGTTTAATAGTGAAATCGGTAAATTCGTTCAAATGAAGCTTTGATCGTTTTGTGTGATAAATTAGCCAAACATGTCACTGTGTGTTAGGAACATTTTAAATTGTCTGAATTTTCCTTAAAAATGCTGGATCAGTAATGCTTAGATGATGAAATAATACTCACTAGTTTTTTTAAAAATCAGATTGCTGCTAGTTCAGTATCTAACCATAGAATGTCGTGTTCTTACTTGAAGATTGCTGAAACATAAGCTGCAGCAGATAGATTTAGTTTATTTAAAAGTGCTTCCAGCCTGTGGGCCTCGACTGTGTGTTTTGGCTTGTGGAGTCGAATACTTGTTGAATGTCTACTGTGACATTTGGATCCTTCCTTTAAATCCCCGCCTCACCATTTATGGGGAAACCCTGAGCGTGTCCCTCATCCCCCAAGAGAGGTGCCTCTAGGGGACGTCGTGAGGATTCAACAAGATGTTGGATGTTAAGTGCCTCACAGGTGCCTGGGCCCCGCGGAGCAAGTGCCAGCTGCCAGTATTATTATTTATTATTGTTATTGCTGTTTCTGTTACTGTGAGGCACTCCTAGGCTCCGTGAGGGGAGTGTTAGGCCTAAAACACAGTTCCTGGCCTTTTCAGTCAGTTTTTTGATAGTGTATTTGACATTGATGTTGACTAGGGCTGAGCCCTGTTAGAAGTGAAATGTACCTTTACAAAAAAATGTGAGCTGTGTTACTTTGAATGAGGGGTGATACACTGAAAAATCTAGACACATAATTTTCCATACCAAAAATGTTCTTCTGCTTTCACCCAGATAAGATATCTTCCTGCTGATATAGTTGGAATGTTCTTTATTCAAAAAATCGTTAAAGCTGTAAGTGTGGGTCTAAATTTTGCGGGGTGCAGAAGTCACTTCATGTTGTGAAATTTCAGGCAATTAAGGGCAAGTTCAAGCAGTGAACGCAAACCGAGGTTCCACAAATTGCAAGCTTCCTTATTTTAAAAATATTCTTGGGAATTATGGTTAAAAGCTATGTCATAATCTTCTTATAACTAGGATCAGTTAGCCTGTATTCTTCTAATGCATTATTTCCTATATAGCACATCGTTTCACTGTGAGTGTAAAATATGAGATAAAAATTGATGCTTTTTTATTCTGTTGATTCTAATTCTGTTAGTCCTTCCCGAACACACGCACCGTCACTTTTCTTTGGGGGACCTCTGCCCCAGATTGTCTCTCAGCTTTACTTAGGTCAGACAGCAAGTCACAGTAAATATTTATAAACAACCATCTTTAGTGGTTCTGGCTTGGATTGACTAGAAGGCGTGACTTGAAGCCCCCCTCATTTCGCTCCAGGCTGGGCTAGTGGTCTCTCCAGCCCAGGGTCTGATGTAGCCAGTGCTGTCCAGGAATTTTGTAGTTGAGCCTGATAAATGCCTTCCGTGATGTCCTCTTTACAGGAATGTGCACCACTCGCTCCCCGCTTCTGGGGAACAGTCAGTGACGGTATGATCTGTGGATGTGTAAGCACTTCATGAATTGTCTGTATATTTTGGTCTGGAGGCCCGGGGCTGCCTCTTTTTGACCTCTTGTAAAGGCGTTGGAATTCCGCACTGGCTTCCAAATTTAGGGTTAGTGTTCGACTCTGATCTTGATTGGTAAAATTATACGTAATCCTCTTTTTTTTTTTTTTCCCCAAATGATAATCCCAGTAAAAGTTGGGGGTTGAGTTCAGTGGAGGAGTATCAGGAATCCACTTCTAGAAACCTTAAAGCCGCCTTTTATGCCGTTCTGTCTTTTGCGTTAATCATCTCCCGTGTTACTGCTCCCTCCTTTTCCACCTCTGCATCACCAGGTAGCTCTATCTGATAATTTTAGTCTTCCTAGAAAGGAGATGTTTTATCAGGAATCCTGCTACTGAGCCAGTGACCACAGGCATCAGGAGGAATATTTTCCCCCAGCACCTTTATGAAAAATGTCAGACATACAGAAAAGCTGAAGGACTTGTGCACTGAGCCCCCATATACCCACCACTTAGATTCTATAATCAGCATTTTGCTCTGTTTGCTTTATCACCTATCTTCCCATTACTGGGGAATATTTTAAGAGGATTTCTTTTTTTTTTTTTTTGGTGAGGGAGATTAGCACTGAGCTAACATCTGTGCCAGTCTTCCTGAGAGGATTTAATAGAGGAGTTGATTTTGAAGGAGAATGGGGGTGATATGCAGTCAGATATAAATTCCTGTTTCTGAATTCTCTATTTTCAGCTGACCCAAATATTAGCTACCCCAGGGTTAGGCTTGGTGGTTCTAGAAGAGCCATCTAGCGTGTCGGCTGCTTCAGATTTGAGCTCTGTGGAGCATCCCCATGGAGCATCTTCAGCTTTGAGTGTTCTAGAAACTACCCAGAATCTGAATTTTTTGAAGCCTCCGGTGGTGATAATGGCTGGCTTTCTGTAAGTTGGTTGTGATGTCCCCTGCTAGTGACAGAACATCAGAATTTCAGATTGGGTTTTGTGTTTTTGTAGCACTACTCTATTAGTTTATACATTTTCTGAACTTATTCTCTGCATAGTTATGCGTTTACTGAAGGCCTGCTGGTAGTCACAGAATCCCCAAACCCCATTTCTCAGTGTAAATTGAGGACTTTTCACGCAGCGCCTTGCATTTATGCCGTAAGTATGAATATATATTTGATACTTACAATGCATATTCTGCTACATTTTTTAATTTGCCCTTAAGATCTAGGATATTTCAGACAGCAATACAGGCCTCTTATTTTGGTTTACAGTAGTCATTGGAGAAATCTAGTTTTTCTGTCCTATGAGGTCATTTATCTCTTTTTAAAAAGGCAATGGAGAAAGTTCTTTTTGAGCTTCCTGGATCCCTTTGTTAACAGGAGAAAATTGCCAGTGTTTCCAGATAGATCGATCATATGTGCTTTTAAGTTCTGGTTTATAGATTTCAGGAAATAACGCTGAAGTTTACCAAAAAATTTCTAAGTGAAAAGTGTCCTTAAAGTTCTCCTAATGGAAAATGAAGACCATAGTAGGAACCTAGATTATTGGCTTTAGTCTTGGTTATTTCCACCCGGTAGAGCGGGAGAAGCACAGATGGGTTAAAAACAGGGCTCACGTGGATGTTCTTCCACCAGACTCACGTTCCTTTACCAGAGTTACGGGTCTTACAAACATTAAAAAAGAGGTTAAACTGAGCAGTTAATATATAAAGTTGGAAATTCCAAATCAGATAGGAACTTCCAGAAGTTCTGCCCAGCATCAGTTAGGGCTGTGACCAAGTACGGCTTCCACTCTTCCTGTGGGGGAAAGCTGTGATGCTGCCCGGAGCCGATGTTGATTTGCCTCTGGTGTGTGTTTGTGGAGTGTCTTTAAAAGAAGTGAGTAAATACACTGATGGGAGATACACAACCGTTTTCTTTTTATCTGTTTAAAAAAATAAGTAAATATTTGAATCAGAGGTTGGACATGTGCTTATTTAAGAAGTCAATTTTATTTATTTACTTTTTTAAGATTTTTATTTTTCCTTTTTCTCCCCAAAGCCCCCCCGGTATAGTTGTGTATTTTTAGTTGCGGGTCCTTCTGATTGTGGCATGAGGGACGCGGCCTCAGTGTGGCTTGATGAGCGGTACCATGTCCGTGCCCAGGATCCGAACCTGCGACACCCTGGGCCGCTGCAGCGGAGCGCACAAACTTAACCACTCGGCCACGGGGCCGGCCCCAGAAGTCAATTTTAAAATTTAATTTCTTATTGAACACAGACTTATAGCACATAATGATTGGTAATAAAATTGCCATCAGCATCAGGTTCTGCCAGTACCTTGAATTCCTTTACAGTTAAACCTTTCAGAAGATGATGCCTCAGCTGAAGATGAAGTTTCAGAAAAGGAGATTTCAGAGCATTTGAAGCACGCTTGGTCGTGTTTCTATAGTGGCTTTGTTCCGCATACATGTGGAAGAGACTTAGGACGCGATCTTAAGGAAAGTGTGACATTTTAACACAACAGTTAAAACCTTTATAGCTGCTTATTCTTGACATTACGAGGCCATAGCTGTTCACATTTTCACGCAACAGCATTTGTCATTTTCAGAAGAGGTTCTCTGATCGTGGCCTTAGACTCCACTCTCTTCCTCAGCCACCACGTCCAGTCCAGGGCGGAGTCCTGCTTGTTCAGCCTCACGTCCAGGCAGCTCTGGAATGGCCCCTTCTCTTCACCCCAAGCCCCTCCTTGGTCCAGAGCAGCCCGCTGGTTCCTGGAAGGCAGCAGCGGCTGCTCCCTTGATTTCCTGCCTCCGGTCCCAGCTTCCTCCGCCCTCTTTCCACTGCATCAGACTGCTCCTCAAAAGGCAACTGAAAACCTCTGTGACTTCCCGACTAGGATCAAGTCCCATGTCCTTAATGGGAAGAGAGGACCCCTCTTCGGGTTTTCTTCTGCTTCTTCCCCCTTATTTGTTCTTAGGTTATATGTGGCTTCTTGTCATCTGGGCCTCCCCATATGCTGTTGCTTTTGCCGAGAATGTTCCTCCCTATCGTGTCCCCACTCCTAAGTCTCAGCGTACATCGCAGCCTCCTGTAACCGCCCCCGAGACTAGGTTAGATCCCTTTGCTGTACATTTCCAGGGTATCTAGTACCACTAGCACGCCTGTCGTTTTGTGTAATGACTACTTTCTTCACTTTTTAGTTCAGTAGCTGCATAAATCCCATGAGGTCTGGTTCATCGCAATCTCTTCAGCACCTAGTACACTTTCTGGCATGGCACACAATTTGTTGGTATAGACCGAATTTGAGTTGATGCTCACAGTAGTTTTGTGATGGAATTGCTAGTTTTGCATCCATTTTACAGTTGAGAAAACTGAGGCATAAGGAAGTTCAAACTTACCCAAAAGTCCAGCCAGTACGTGATCGAGTTGGCCAGAGGTCTCAAATCCAGCATCATGACTCCAGGTCTTAGGCTCCTGCTCCTACAGGTTTATTTTTACATTCTAGGCTTTTAGCAAAATGTACGGCCAGTGAGTCATTCCTGTTTAGAAAGCCTTGAGGAGTTGGAAGCTTCTTCCTGGTGATGTAATGTTTGACCCTGTGAGGTCTTTGGCGTGGGGAGTTCCAACTTTTGTTAAGCCTTTAATAATGTTGAGAAGGAAACAAGTATTGGCAAGACTGGCTGGGCCTGTAATCTGCCTGTGGTGAGATTTTTGTCTTAAGCTCAGAGTGCAGGGAAATTAGAAAAGCACTTAACCTCTTTATGGTGAATTCTGATTCGTAGTCGTTGAGATTGGATGGCAGAATCTTAGGACTCAGAACCCCAGGGTGTCATCATGACGGGGAGATGGGCTCATTAAGGAGAGCATCTGGTGATCCCTTGGGAGGCCGGGGACTCTGGGCTCTCGGAAGTCCTTGAAGTCACCCATGAATGTTGTAAAATCTGGAGACCGTTTTCTGGCTAATGGTGCAGTGATCGTCTTAATTTTTAGGTGAGATTCTCTCGGAATCCATTTCAGTGGCTGGGAGACTTCCAGCCACCACTCCGACCTCTGCCAGCCGGCCCGCTGTGCCCCCTGCCTGCTGTGCAGGAGGCCCTCCCGTCCCCGGAGGACGTGCTTCCACACGGTTCCCTTTTACTTCCTCCTCTGCAGCTGTTTGGGAAGTTGACTGCAGCAGCCCTGAGCCGTTAATTAATACGTCTGGAATATGTCACGTTAGCCGCTCTGAGAACTTGGGGGAGTCTGTGAGGATGGGGCTGGGGAGGTGCAGATGAATTAAGTGAGAGCAGTTCGAGTGGGGGTTAGTGACTAAGCGCTCCATGAAGAGAACGGGGTGCCACTGATTGCCGGAGGCAAGGGGGGCGGGTGGAGCTGCCGCTCAGAGGTGGCAAAATAGATCACTTAGCAACAAGGTGGAAGTCGCAGAGGAAGCCTGTGTTTGCATCTTAATACATCAGAATAACGTGGGGATAGACTCGAAGGCTCTTGGGTGAAAGATTTCTACAGATGTTGGGAGAAGAGACTTTGCGTTTGAAAACTGGTCCTCTTGAGCCTTGTGCTTACTTAACAACTGTTTCGTGACCATTAGTGCTCATATCACATACCTCCTGACTGCCTTTCTCAGAAATTCTGGTTTGTTGACTTTAAGTTCAGGATAAAAATAGACGTGTAGTGTTAAATAAAAGGTTATGGGAACTGATTGTTTCCTGTAATGCTGAGGACTTGGTGTATACTCCTTGATTTTTCTATAAATTATTAACAGAACAGTGAAAGTGAGGATTACATTCATGTTGACTAAGCACCTTACCCCGTTTTTCTCTCTCTCTTCAGAGCTGTAGGTAAGACGTGCCTGCTGATCAGTTACACGACCAATGCGTTTCCCGGAGAGTACATCCCCACCGTGTGAGTAGCTCGAGTCCACCCGGGCGTGGACTTCCGTGATGTTTTTCGGATTCCTTTGACCTTCGTTTTGCTTTATAAAGCCATTCTTAATCCTCATATGAACTGATATGATTAATTTTCCTCTCAAACATTCATCAGAGTCTAATTATAAGGTATTTAGGCTTTTAAAAAATACTTAATCTAATGTAAAGTTTCCGCATAGTGATGAAGCGTGCCGCTTCCCTCATTGATTTTTTAGACATTCAGGAAACAAAAGAAAGTTAGCTGACAGTGAGGTATAGACTTCAGTGTCCAAGTTTCAGATCCGTTTGGCTCTCTGGGCTCTGTGTGTGGAAGATCAAGGAACGGGAACGTGAAATACTCCATTATGTTCTAATTGGCCTTTTCTGGCAAGTAGTCCGATGGTTACATGTCACTCTTGAGGTATGGGCTTTGGAACTGAAACCAGGGCGTGTGGGGCGAGGAGGGGTGTGGGGGGACGGAAGGGGGTGTGGGAGGATGGACTGGCTGCCGGGCTGCTTATCCCCTGTGGGCAGCAGAATTGGGTGGAGACAGAAATGAGCTTTTCTAGTGGTGGGGTTGCTGGGAGCCCCTGGAGCCGAGCCTTGTAATGTGCCGCCCTGCGCCCGAGGGGAGCTCTGTCCCCACAGCCGCCCCCCTGGCCCCCCCAGGGCGCCCCTCCTCAAGCACAGCACACACACTTAGGCGCTCTCTGGAGTGTCCTGCGCACATTTTAATATAGTGGAATTATACTGTCCACGTTGTCCCGAATTTGTGGTGGGGTCTTTCCTTATCCAGACTTGCAGACAGAGCTAAATCATTAACAGTTGTTAATGACAGAAATGCTACAGCTGATTTAGCCCCTGGTTGTTTAGGTCTTTGGGGGCGGGCATTACAAATAGTTCTGTGTGAAACATCATCGCACGTGTCTTTGTGCACATGTGATGGTTTATTGGAAGTGGAATTGTGCCCCATCCAAAGGGAAGGGGGACTTTAACTTTGGAGAGCTACCAGCCAGTTGCTGTCGAAACAGCTGTCACTGTGTCCAGCTGTGACCGAAATGGCCCCTTAGTGCGTGCTGTGGTTAACACGAGTGAAAAAAGTTACCTCCGCATTTGCATTCTGATCACCACTGAGGTTAAAATCTGAATGTTTACTGTCCTTTTGTGGTCTTCCGTAAATTACCTGTTGAAATCCTTTGCCTACCTTTCTAGTGCAATTTTTTCTTACTGGTGGAACTTTTGTATATAAGAAACATTAATCCTTCTGTCTCTCATTTGTCTTTGAACTTCATTATGGTGTCCTCTGCCGTGGAGAAGAGTAACATTTTTATCTAAATGTGCCACTCCTCCCTTCCCCTGCTGTGTCTTACTTAGGAAGACCATTCCTACTTCAGCGATGCCAAAATACTCTTTAGTATTTTTTCTAGGATTTTTGTGGCTGAAGTTTTTATCTTTAATTCACTTAGAATTTACTTTTCGGTATTATATGAGGCAGGCACCTGATTCTTTTTCCCAGATGGACAAAAAAGTCACAATACCATCAATTGAATAATCTGTCCTTTTCTTACAGAAGCAGAATTCCACACAAACCTTTTCTTTATGAAAGCTGGTTTGGTCTTTAAATTCTGTGAACCACATTGGAACCTTGCTGTGACCTTGACTTTGCTGTTGCCGTGTAGTCAGACCCTAAGTTGTAGTCTTAAGAGTATGTAAAAATGAATTCGGGAGTTTTATTTGAAAGGCTGCTGTGTATTGGGTTCTGTTTGGTACTCGCCCTGGTTTGAATTGCAAGGCCCGATTTTCTTTTTAATGAAACTACTCTAGGCTACTTGTAGTAATTTTTAATGTCAACCTTATTTCCCCCCGTGAGCCTGTAGGCTTTTCTGGGGTGCTGCTGCTTTTAGTTAACTAATTATGTCTGGCAGCTTCTAATTAATTGAAATACATGTGTAATGTGGTACACTCACTCTGAAAACGTCACATGGTCGCGTCTCACGTGGTTGGTTTGTGTTTCCGCTGCACTTGGGTTACAGGCATGAGTGACCAAGACTCAACTAATTCGCCCTCCACTCAGGTGGGTGTTCTGGAAACAGTGCAGAGCGCAGCTCTTGTGAGGCGCTGCTTTGTTAAAAATGAGTCAGATGTGTACCTGAAAAACTCAACAAGTGGGGTTTGATAAAGGGACTCATTTTATACTTTATTTCCTCCTGGGCAGAAAAGTGTTAATGTTCTGATTTTTTTATTGCTGCCAGTAATTCGTGTCAGTTACATTGAGCAGCTGGCCCTGTGTTTCTCAGGCGGGTTTCCCTTCCCTCCATCCCGGTTCCTCTCTGCCCGCAGGCCGGGGTCTTTGCTGGCCTGCAGCCTCTGGCCGCTCCTAACTTTCTCAGCACACGTCCTCTGGGCCCCCGGCTAGGACAGCCACTCAGGTCCTGATCTGTGCCTTACGCTCCACTAAAGACTAACCATTTCTACTCCATTCCACAGCTTTGACAACTATTCTGCCAATGTTATGGTAGATGGAAAACCGGTGAATCTGGGCTTGTGGGATACAGCTGGACAAGAAGATTACGACAGATTGCGTCCCCTCTCCTACCCGCAAACAGTAAGGATCGTGACTGACGTTTGATGTCCTTCTGAATATACAGTTCCCCAGTGTTTGATTAATTGCATGTCACCAGTGGATTTGCTTATATTGCCATCTTTTGGGTGTATTGAGTAATAGCAAATAAAGTTGTTGGTGCGGTAGTGACTGTCCCCCTAGATGCACACCGGGCTTGGTGGGTTGGTTTTTACTTTTGAGCATTACCAGTTGTTGGCAGTTACTGCCGACGACGCTCTGCGCCACACGTCCTTTCGTTGAGGTTTAGGACAGCCGGACGAAGCCGGTATCGCGAGGTTCTCTAAAGCAGCTTCAGTGGCTGTTAGTCTCAAGGTTAGTTTGCTGTGGGCAGTTTTGTACCATACAATCAAGCTAAGCAGTTAAGATGAGGTTTCTTTAAATCAAGTTAGTAACTAATCTTATGGGTTTCATACTATTTTTCTGTAAAGTACCTGTTCATCCTCGGTGGCATTAGTACCGAAATCTTGTCGGTGTTGACTGAGGTTTCAGTTTTGTAAAAATGTGTCCAGTGTGTCCAGTCAGAAACTTGTAGCTTGGTTTATTCCTGTATCACACACTAAATGCCCTCCTTGCCGCAGCACCACCTGGTGAGACATGGTCAGGAGCCACCTTCTTTAGGAAGCGGTCGTTTTCCTTGTGTTATTTGCTTATCTTGTTACGTTTTTCATTTTAAAAGTCTATTTTAAAACAGCTTTGGAGACTTAGGTGGCTGAAGGCGCGGTTGGGCAGACACGGGGGTTGCCATGGCGCCGCCCCTCTCCTGGCGGTGTGAGCTCACGCAGCTTTCCCCTCCCTCTGCACCGCGTTCTGGGAGGTTAGACGAGTTACTGTACGTACAGCACAGAAACCGGCCCAGGCCTGGCGCTGCCTGCAGGGTAGCTGCTCCTGCGACTCCGCCTCGTCCTTCTGTGGATGAGGGGATAGACCTGGGGAGCTCCCGAGCTGCGAGTGGAGGCAGCGCGAGCTGCAGCAGGCCGGGGGCCAGCCCGGGGAGGCAGGCTCGGTCCTTTGTCTCGGGTTAGTGTGGGTGAAAGTAACTAATTAGTTCCAGGCTACCCAGTTCTCGTTTCTGTTTTTTCTTTAAATGAACTTCCTGTTTAGCAGTGATAGTTTTAAACTTTTGAGCACAGCCTTTCCCAGGCAGCTGTCATTGTCTTCTGTTTGTTTCCTGCTGGAGGAATTGCCGGATACCGCTTCTTAGAGCTGTAGATTTTTGCCGATTGTCCTTGGGGGTTCTCAGTTAGTCTCTAGCTAAAAATTAACTGTGATTAAGTATTAAAAATCAGCGGTAATCACCAAATGGTTCGAATTCTTCACTGTTTAGGAGACTGTTCCGTACCCACTGGGCACTTAGTAATTCCAAATGTTAAATGGATTTGCCAGCATATTGGCTGGTAAAGTAGGAGTCCCCAACCCCCTGGATCTATCTAGAAGGGCGGGGTGTCACTGCTGAGAAATGAGAACCACCTCCTGTGACTCAGGGGGTCCAGGGCAGGGCGCGGCCTTTTTCTCTAAGGGAGTCACTCACTGCCTCTAAGGGAGTCATAAGTCAAAGGTGATGTGGCAAGAGTCCCACTTTGTGTGCCAGCGAGCTCACAGATAAGTAACAGATTGCATCAAGCCGTAGTGTGTGAGGCTGGAAATCCAGCCTTTTATGTCCCTCCCGTGTAAGGCCGTAGACTGTTTTCCTGTCAAATGCTTGAACCGCAAAAAGGGAGGAAAACATGACCCTTCGCCTCCAGTAGCTCCAGGACTGTGAAACACACCGTGTGCCAGCGTAGAGGGTTGCGTGGGTGCTCGAGAGCAGAGGGGCGAGAGCACCCAGCCAGCAGTTAACGGTGTGCCTGCCTGGACGCCTTTGGAGATGAGGAAGTTAGCGTGGCTCCTGAGGGGCGGGCCCCGAATCCTGAGATCCTGGAGCCTAAAGATCTCCTTCCGTGAGCCGTGCTGTCCTGCCGAGAGGAGCAGGCCTTGAAGTGACAGGCTGGCGCCTTGGTTTCTCGTTGACAAAGGGGAAACCTCTAAGTTGGTAGCAAATGGAAGGTGGTCTCCAGGTGTTGGCTCTTTGCTCTGCAGGCCTGTTTGTGTGGCTCATCCCTGACTGCGCAGGCCTGCTCCTGAGGGGCCAGCTGGACGACTGCCTAGCCAAGGCTCACCCCTTTTTAGGTCTTTGTGACCTAAAAAGACATGTTATGTTTCCTCTGGTCATTTAATGCTGCCACCCGTCTCTGTTGGTTAGCTCTGTGTCACTAAGTTAAATCTGTTTAAACTATTAGTTTCTACTTCATTCTCCCCAAGAGGAGGAGCAGGCAGTCATCGTTTTCAGTATAAATTGCCCTTCAAGTTTTAATTTTTCTAAATTAAGTAATCCTTGGAGCTTTTCTATTCTTCAGTAAGTTATCTTTATATTCCGTTTTTTTTTTTTTTTTTGCTTTTTCTCCCCAAATCCCCCCAGTACATCAGTACATAGTCGTATATTTTAGTTGTGGGTCCTTCTAGTTGTGGCATATGGGATGCCGCCTCAACATGGCCTTGATGAGCGGTGCCATGTCCATACGCAGGATCCAAACTGGCGAAACCCTGGGCTGCCGAAGCAGTGCACACGAACTTAACCACTCGGCCACGGGGCAGCCCCTTATTCCCTTTTAAAAGTACTTTGTCAGGGGGCTGGCCTGTGGCCAAGTGGTTAAGTTCGCAATCTCAGCTTTGGCAGCCTGGGGTTCGCCAATTCGGATGCTGGGTGTGGACCTGCGCACGGCTCATCAGGCCGTGCTGAGGCGGCGTCCCACGAAGAACCCGAGTAACCTACAACTAGGATGCACAGCTACGTACTGGGGCTCTGGGAAGGGTGGAAAAAGGAAGATTGGCAACAGATCTGAGCTCAGGGCCAGTCTTCCTCACCAAAAAAAATCCTTTGTAAGTCCTGCCTATTCCTCTTCAGTTGTGTTTGGATTCAAGGCGTGTTCAGCATAGTGCTCAAGCCCAGCGTCATGTTGTGTCCAGTCACCTGCGTGTGCCTGCATGTTCCGGGATTTAGTGGTGTGATGGGAGCATATGTGACTTGCGAAAGTCATAACAAGGCCTGAGTCCTGCGCATTCTGAGAGCCCCGTGCTGCCCAACCTGTTCGAGGAGAACCCGGGCCTCTGTGTGCTCGGGTCAGCCGGGACCTCAACGTGTCGTGCCAGTGTGTTCATTTTCTCTGTGTGCTCTGACGGGAGAAGGTTTTTAAGAACTGAGCTAGACCCCTGCGACGTTAGGTAGAAAGGAAAACCACCGTGGTTGGCTTGGCTATTTTGATTTTCAAAAGGCTTTGAGTTTTGTTAGCTTGGCTGTCACAGCATCCGTGTCCTCCAGCCAAAAATCGCAGGAACACACCTGTGGTTAAACAGAATTGGGTCTGTTACTTGTTACTCTGCCACCAGGGGGCACACCTTGGGGGGCTGTGGGAGGGATTGGGCTCATGTGGGTGAGTGGGCGGGGCTGGGGAGCGGGGCTCTGCTGTGGGTTGGCTGCTGGCAGGAAGCAGGGGAGTTCCGTGGGTGTTAGGATAACTCTCAGCTGGAGGTGGGGCTGAAGCGAGGCTAATGCTGTGATGGGTGCGGGCGCAGAAGTGGTCCCACGCTCTCCTTGGCTGGGGGAGGGGGTGTTTAGTGATTGGGCGGTTTGCACGGTGACTTGTCTTTGTTTATACTTAAACAAGATTGCGAAGTGGTCTTCTCTTTAGTCCTTTGCTTGTGGTCTCATTTCAGCAGGGGCACACAGTGACCTTGTCTGATGTCGGTGTCCTGGGGCTTGTTACATTCCGCAGGAACATGCCATGGCCGAGCCGTGAGCGCCAGGCAGCTCCCAGGTGGCAGGGCACTTTTCTCTTTTTCTGAAGCTGGTTTTCGTGGCAGCTCCACGTTGATGATGCATGTGCAGCTGCTTTTCTGTGCTGTGTTTATGTATCCTGGGCCTTTTCTGAGTGCACAGAATGCCTGTATTAAAAAAATATTCAAGCCCGAACGTAAAACCAGGTGGAAAGCATTTGGAAGAGAATAAAACAAAAGAGAGAGAAAGGCCAGTGCTTTTGGAGCAGCGAGGTTGCAGCTGTCCAGAAGTCAGGCCCCGTCTGCTTCAGCTGAGAGCAGAGTCGTCTCTCTGGATTGTCCCGCTGACAGATGGGGGCGGGGGCAGCAGTAAGAGCTGCTGCTCTGGCTGGACTTTTGACCAGGAGGGAGGCCTGGTTTGTGAGACAGGAGTCATAAAGTCACTGAAGGCACAATGCGAGTCTGGCGAAGTCCGAGATGAATGCCACGTTCCTGAGATCGGCAGGACAAGTCCAGCAGAAAGATGGGCCTGTCACCCATGCCAGCTCAGGCGGAATAAGGAGGCTCCGGAGCACAGGGGGACCCTGTGAGGCAGGACGAGGACGGCTACGCCCCAGGTGGCCGGTGTGAGGCCCTCTGAGGGTTCCGAGGACAGACACATATTAGAGACCCCAGCCAAGGTGGAGCCACTCTGGGCGGGGCATCAGGTGGGCAGGCAAAGGTCGGAACGAACGGATGCCAGAAGAGCAGCATCAGAAGCACTAGGATGTTTCCTTAAAGCCATATTTAGACTTGGGGAAGAAAAAGGAAGGAGGAAGGAACAGGCAGATGGTGTAATGTTAACGTGGGATGGAAAGCATGTGTCTTCATCGAAAAAGATGTTCCTATGGGGCCAGCCTGGTGGTGCAGTGGTTAAGATCCTGCGCTCTGCTTCGGCGGCCCGGGGATTGTGCATTTGGATCCCAGGTGCAGACCTACAGACCACTTAGCAAGCCATGCTGTGCCAGGTGTCCCACATACGAAGTAGAGGAGGATGGGCACAGATGTTAGCTCAGGGCTGATCTTCCTCAGCAGGAAAAAAGAAAGGGTAGAACAGATGTGGTTAGAGGATATTTTGAAGTTGCATTTTTGTGGCTGATGCCCATGAGTCTCTGTATCACAGTAAAGATTTGGCATCATGTCAGGGCCTTGGGAGGACAGATCTTCAAAAATAGCTCACAGAATTGTAAGTTAGAGAAGCTTGAGTGAGAAGAAATTAACATGCTTCTCTTGTCCATCTCTTAAAAGAATTCCAGGGTTCTGTGCTGCTGGGAGAGCACGTCTTTCAGTGTTTATTGGAGCAGGGCGATTAATTGAAAGCGTGTGATAAACACTGGAAACAATCACTCTGGGCCGCCCCGTCCAGATCTGCTGGGGGCGGGAGTCGAAGGTCTCGGTGCAGCAGCACTGTTCCTTTCCGTGATGTGGGTCCCTGACTTCACACCACGCTCCCGAGCCTGACGGGGAGAGCCCGGTGGTCCGGCACAGGGGAGCTGTGCTCACAGCCCTCAGACCTGGCGGCAGTCCTGGAGGGCCTGGGTCACACACGGCTGCTCTGCGCTGTGTGCCGGGCCTCCGCCGGGCTCGTGTCGGAGATGTCGGGGAGGCGCGCTTGGCGCCGAGGGATGCCGGCCAGCGGGCCTTGGCCGAGGGAAGGACCCTTCCTGTCTGAGCCTAAGCTGGCGCTGCACGGGCCTGCACACCTGCTGCTGGAGGAGGACCCTGTGCCTGCGCTGCCATGGGCAGGAGCGCCTGTCGCCTTCCCACTGATTCCTGACCTCTGTCCTCCCCGTCCTCGACCTTCGCAGGGCGCTCCCTTGGCCGGGCGGATGGAGTGTTCCGGTGGCATTTGGCGTCTTGGGCTTGTTAGATCCTCGTCTGTGTTTAGATCCCTCGGGAGGGGTGAGACGGAATTCTGATGAAGAATAGTAACGAGTTATACTGATTTTACTCTCGTCAGTTTTTACTAAACTCAAACGAAGTTCTCGTGCATTACTAGGTTGGAGAAACGTATGGTAAGGATATAACCTCCAGGGGCAAAGACAAGCCGATGGCCGTATGTAAACCTTTCACTCGCCTTCAGTTTCAAGCTTCCTCTCTCCTCTCGTTTCCCCTAGTTTTCCCAGGATTTCCTGTTGAGCCTCTCGCCCCTTGAGTGCTTGATATTCGATTCACTCAAGGTCGGGGTTCCGCTCGATGAAATCTGCTTTCACTAGAACCTGACAGTTACCTCCCAGCTTGACTGTCCCCCTCCCGAGAGAGGAGGCCTTGCCCGCAAGGGCGCCTCCAGGCTGGTTGGGGCGGCGACGCCGGGCTCCACCTCGCAGCTCCCCGCGGACTGTGCGCTTGAGCGGAGCGGGACTGAGGCGGCTGCGGGCCGGGGGCCTGTCCGGGCGCGGCTGTGCGTGCTGGTGCGCTAACCCCACCCTGCTCTGAACAGTAATCAGCTCTGTGCCGAGCGGCCGTGGTGGCGGTTCTTGGGCAAGCTTGTGCATGCGCTGGCGTTTTTCAAATGTCATTTATAAAAAGCTGTCGTGTGGGATGTTTCCTTCCCTTTCAGGTACAAGAGTATCAGCTGGATGATTGAAAGTGTTAGTTTGGGAATTGTGTGCATTTCACAAAGTAGCATAATTGCCTTGGAATTTTCCAGGAAAATGTTTTCTAAACCTAGCATTTTAGAAACTCTTCGGCATTTTTTAATACAAGTAAATATTTAAATTTGACTTTTTACACAGTACAGAACATGAGGAAAAACCCAAATATTTTACATGTAGCCAGAAATTGGTTCAGGTTCTTGTTCTGCACTTGCTTTTCCTTTAAATGTCTACTTCAGCCACCACTGCTCCAGGCGCAGGTTCCCCAGAGGCCCTGCGTGGATTTGAGAGGCTCTGACAGCTGAGGAGACGCCACCGAACACCCCAGAGCATCCTCCGTCACAGAGGAGCGTGCTCATGGAGCACTGCTGGAGACCTCCCCGCCCCCCGGGTGCCAGCCACTCTGATGGCAGTTCAAGATGCACGTTGTACTCAGCGTGCACATGGGGAGCGTGATGAGAAGCATGCTGTTTGTAGATAATCTTTTTAAAATTGACTCTGCTTTTGAGAAACTGAGACCAAATTTTACAGACATTCTGGAGTAGGACCTTGCCCCTTGATCTTGCGCCCGTGTGTAATGGGTCGTACGTTCCCAGTGGGGTCGGCAGTGATGGCAAAGAGGCCTCCGCGGCCTCAAGGAGCTGCTGGCGTGTTTGGCCCTGCTCCCTGTTCTCAGGAGGAGCCGGGTGTCTGCGCTGGCTCTGGTTTGGGAGCCGTCCGCCGCAGCTGAAGGGGGTCCAGGGGGGGCCGTCAGCACAAGCTCCTGCACAGCAGGTGCGCTGCGTGCGACGGTTCATTCCCAACAGCATGAGTTTGTTTTCTTTTCCATTTCTTTTCTTTTTTTATTGAAGCATAAATTCCCAGCAGCATTTAGAAAGCAAAGTGCATTCGCCATTATAAGACCCATTTTTCTAAACACCTCCCTCTGTTTCCTTTTTATAGGACGTCTTCTTAATTTGCTTTTCTCTTGTGAGTCCTGCATCATTTGAAAATGTCCGTGCAAAGGTAAGTGGAGACTTTTTAGAAAAATATTTTGTTACGTAATGTCACGCTCAGGAAGAAACGTTAAAAATAAAATAGCATTTACTGATAGAAATGTTCAGTTATTTCGACTGGCTTCAGGAAGTCTGCTCCCGAGGCAGGTAATGAGTTTAAGTAGATGCTTCAGCGTGTGGGCTTCTCTGGTTCCGGGTCTGCTCCGGCAGTGCTGTGCGCTCTGGGTTCAAGTCACGCGCTCCGGGGCTGCTCAGGAAAATGACCACCACGCCTTTCTGCTCCTGCGTCTTTCACAGCTCTTAGTGAAAATGCCGCGTGCAAGACGCCCTTCAGGTCCAGTGCTGAGGGTGTGCTCAGCGGGGTCGTGGCCTCAGGGTGAGACCTCGGTCCCGATGGTTCACGCATTCTCATCCCTGAATATATGAAGGGTTTTCTAACCTAAGAACTTGAGTCGTTTTACCGAAAACAAAGTGGTTTTTATCGGGGGCCTTTCCTTCCTCTTCCCGTCTCACTCTCACTGACACACCGAGCCTGTTCTGGAGGGTCGTTGGTCCTGGGAGTCCTGCCTTGCTAATAAGCGCACAGCCCCAGGTGGTCTGCCTGGGTTCAGGTAGTCCGTGGTTCTGGGCGGTGTGAGCCAGGCTGGAGCGCAGGCGCCGTTTCCTGCAGGAGTGACTCAGGCGGGGCGGTGACAGCTTGGCACGCGTGTGGTTATCGTTTAGGTGAAGGGAGTTCATAAAGGAACGTGTCCATAACTTGATTCCTTTCTTCCCATCTAGTGGTATCCTGAAGTGCGACACCATTGTCCCAACACTCCCATCATCCTGGTGGGGACTAAACTTGATCTTAGGGATGACAAGGACACGATCGAGAAACTGAAGGAGAAGAAGCTGACTCCCATCACCTACCCGCAGGGCCTAGCCATGGCCAAGGAGATCGGTAGGAAATCCTGCGTGTTTCACGTCTGCTTGGCACGCGTTTTCATTTGTGTGGCAGAGACTGGCCTCCGGTCTGGGGAAGTGGAGTGTGCTCCTCCAGCTCGGGGTCTGGCTCACTTTCGGGGACGAGCGCAGCAGGGCCTTCGGTGGTCGAGTCCGGGAGGCAGAGACGGGCCGCTCCACTGTGCCGGGCGTGGCAGGGGGCGGGCGGGGGCGCTGCGTCGCCTGTGCTGGCAGGATGGGCCCGTGGGAGCGCTGCGCGTGGCACTCAGAGGGGCGTCTCTCGGCAGGTGCTGTCAAATACCTGGAGTGCTCGGCGCTCACACAGCGAGGCCTCAAGACAGTGTTCGATGAAGCTATTCGAGCGGTCCTCTGCCCGCCTCCCGTCAAGAAGAGGAAGAGGAAATGCCTGCTGCTGTGAACGGCCGCGCCCTCGCCCGCCCGCCCGCCCGCCCCTCGGAACCTTTGTACGCTTTGCTCAGAAACGGTGGAGCCTTCGCACTCAATGCCAAGTTTTTGTTACAGATTAGTTTTTCCATAAAACCATTTTGAACCAATCAGTAATTTCTAGGTTTTGTTTGTTTAAAGTGTAAGAGTTCAAACTTTCACGTTCTATTAAAATTTAGCCCTAAAATGACCAGCTTTCTTAAAGCCTTATTTTTCGAAAGCCCCTGTTCTTGCTTGAGAGTTGCCAAAATACCTTGTGAACTAAGTCGCGTTGTGCTGAGAACACTAAGCACTAAACCGCGTGAGGCCTTCGCCTTTCCGGAGCCCGCGGCTCGGGGTTAGCGCAGACCCCTGACGAGTTCCTGCGTTCCTGACCCAACCTTGTACTGTAGCTCATGACGGGATGAGGGTGACAACTCAGCTCTTTGGATCAAGCTTTTTGATTTCGTAGTGAGATTTTTTAAAAAAAAATTAGTGTTAGCTTTGCTGAGATTCTGAACAGAACTCTGCCTCACGTGTCTGTCCCACGAAGCGTTCTGCTCCAGCCCCGGGTGCCCTGGGGTGGAGTGTGCGGGACATTGGATGTGATCAAAGGATGAAGACAGTATTTTGACAAAATGATGAAGTGGAGGTTAATTTACACTACATTGTACACGTAATAATTAAACCGAATGAAAGTGTCACGGGTAAAAATTTTAAAAGGTTAATTTCTGCCAAATGCAGCAGACGATGAAGGTCGGTCGGTATGATCCGTAACTGTCCTCTGAAGCGTTCCTCGTTCCTAAGCCTGCCACCCCGCCCGAAATCGGGCCTTTAATTCCACTTTGAACTGGTCATTCCCATAGTCGCTAACTTAGTGCGTGCTTTTCTTATAGCACCCTTCTTCATGAGCAATATGCCTCCTTGTATTATAAAATCTTTCTGATAACGCATTAGAAACTTCTTTTGTAGATTAGTAAAAAGTGCATTCCTGTTTTCATTTTACTTTATTCAAAGCTAATAAGTGCTTTCCTTAGTTTTCTAGTAACTAGGTGTAAAAATCATGTGTTGCAGCTTTCCGGTTTTTAAGATATTTTAGATATTCTTAAACTATGAACCTTCTTAACATCGCTGTCTTGCCAGATCCCCCCCACTGCACCTTCACTAACGCTGGCCCTCTTCGCCTCGCCCCGTGGACACTTGCTTCCCGGTGTTGCCCTGCCTAACGATGTTCCTTTGGGTCTGTGAGGTTCTGTAAACCCCATGCTCGTGCTAATGAATTCTGTACAACTTACCCACTGGCAAGAATACGAGGTCGGACCTTTCAACCACTAGAACAAAATTTTTTAAATTGACCGTTGCAGAATTGTGGAGTGTTTTTACATTGATCTTTTGCTAATGCAATTAGCAGTATGTTTTGCATGTAAGACTTAATAAATCCTGGAATCATACGACTGGTGATACTGAATTCTTGAGAGCCTGGTGAGCAGCTTCCTGGGGTGTGTGTTCACTTGCCTCCCTTGAAAACCCTGGGTTGTTGGAGAGTCGTTTCCAGTGCGTGTTGTCACGCGGGGGGGACGGGGAGTGGCCCCTCCGGGGAGAGAATGTGGATGAAGCAGCTAACGATGGGGGAGGGAGTGATGTTTGGTTTTGGACCTGTTGAGTGCTGGTGAGAACCACATTGGGGCGTGTGTGCGCGTGCATTTTAGGCCAGAGCTCTGGGCTGAAAACGCAGATGTCGGGACCGAGTTGGCAGCTTGGTTGGGCAGAGGCTATATGACTAAGATCCCTTCTGGAGCCTGAAATTATGCTCTACACACTTCCTGTTGGAATCAGTTATCTAAATACTCCTTTTTACCAAAGATACTGTCATGCGTAGTTTAAAGAGCAAATAGTTCTAAAGGTTTGCTATAAAAACAAGTCTTGTTTGCTTGCTTTTTTTTTTTTTCCAGCTTACTACATCACCAGTTTATTGTAAAAGGATGTAACTCAGGAACAGCCAGGGGGAAGAGGTGCATAGGGCCAGGGAGGGGAAGGGCGGAGCGCCCACGCCCTCCCCAGACCACTCTCCCCAAATCTCCGCGAGTCCCTGCCCGGGAGCTCTCACCCCCATCCTTCTAGGATTAAATCACCGGCCACTGGCGGGCAGTTCAACCTCCAGCCCCCGCCCTCCCCTCCCCGGGCCAGGCTGAACCATATGCTTTTCTTGCCAGTTGGATTTTCCAGTTTGAGCCCGAACCACGATCCTGTGTCCTGGTGGATCGAGGGCTTTCTCCGTCCCGCTGCCCACCGCCCCAGCCCTCCCAGCCCCTCCGTCATGCTGGTTGGCGCTCACTGTTAGTGTCTCTGTTGCTCTTACTCTGTAAATACTCAGCCGAGCCGCGCAGTACCTAGTCTCTCCTGCAAATCTTTTGGTTTCTTTTGGGATAATTCATACCTTATTTGCCTAGTTTTCTGTGTACTTAATAATCTGTGAACTTCCATCTCGTCTGAATCTCTCAAGGTGTTTGGAGGTATTCTGTTTCATCCATTTTCGCCTTCCTGAGGTCTCAGTCTTCTCGCCACCATTTCTCGTGCGTGTTCATCTGCATCCCGACTCCTGATTTTTAATTTACCTCCTCATTTTGATGAACAGGTTCTCCAAGAGCTTCCTGAGGACTGTGTGGGAAATCTGTTTTCGGCCCTTGTGTCTTTGAAAATAACTTCATTCTACGCTGATACTTTTTGGCTAGGTCTAAAATTCTCGGCTGGAACAACTTCCCCTCAGCCTTCGGAAGGCCGTGCCCACTGCACGGGGCTGTGCTTTCCTTCCAAGTCTTGTGGGCTCTCCCCTTTGTCCTCATGTCCTGGGTTTGTTGATCCTTTGTGCCCTGTGCTTGGGGGGCCCTCTCCGCTTGGAAACTCGTGTTTCCCACTACTCACATATCCACTGCCTCGCTGCTTCTGAGCTCGTCTTCACGCTTAATTCCCAGGTGTTCTTCCTTCTCTAACAGTTTCTCAGCCTCGTGGATCGCTGTGGTGGTTGCAGCACTTTCTCTGTCCCCAAGTGGTGGCTGGGGGAGTTTGAAGCTTTGCCCACATGTTTCTTCTGGTCCCTTGTTCCTCAAATGTCTGGCAGTCCTTGGCTTGTGCTTAAAGGTTGAGAACCTACAAAGCAGACTGGAAACCGCACGCAGGTGGGTCCCACCGGGGCAGTGTTGTTCCAGTCCGTCTGAGATCTCTTACCTTTGCCACTAGGAACTGACAGGCCTGGGGTTTACAGATGGAGCCTGCAGCACTGGACGATACCAGGGCATTTCAAGTGAAGCTTGTAAATGCTCCCTTGCACGTTTTCAGAGCTAAGGTGGTGTGGCTGACAGGTGAGACACCCTGAGGGACGTGCCTGGAGGTCAGGTTGCTCCGGACAATCTTGAAGGTGCTGAGGAATGGCATTTGTGTGTCCTCAGCAGTGCTGGTGTCTAGTGCTCCCTCTGCCCGAGGCAAACAAACGGCCAGATTTCTTCCAGCTTTCCGGGAAACCACCTCACCTGAGCCAGTCCCATCGTCTGCTTCCCTCCCGTGTCAGAGGGGCAGGGACATCGGGGTTGAAAACCGGGTTGGTTCTTGTCTTTCCTCCACTTCACTCAGGGTTCTGTCTCCCTCTAGCCATCGATGGTTCTTGTGTCTTCTTTCCCTATCCTTGTGGGGTTATGCTTTTTAAGGAAATGCCTTTATTGTCATTTTATGGGGCCTTGGTGGGGTGGGGGTAGGGTGAAGTCAGATGCGTGTGCAATCTTCCGTCTTTAGCCAGAGCTCCAAGAAAACTGAAGACTTCATTTTGTTGTTTACAGTAGACAGAAAAAAACGGTTTAAAACACGATTGCCGTAAAACCACTTAGAACAGACCTTGAAAACATGCGGTAAGAAGAGCACAGCACTGCACGGACACAATGGCAGGCGTAAGTGCTTTATTTTCCAGCTCCCTCTGAATCCTGACCGACTTCCAAGAGCCCGAAGGCGACACGAGAGTTCAGTAGTGGACTCGGTGCTGATGATGCAGTGTAAACAGGGAAGTGCAGGGCCACACTCGGCAGGAGCAGGGGTCTCGACTCATCCCCAACTCGGTTTCACCTTGATTCCCAGTCAGGCTCAGGGCTGACCCGTAGAGCCACCCAGGAGGAACCCCACCCCCAGCCTGCACCCTGCCAGCCGAGTCCTGAGTCTGTGCAGCTACAGCCCTGGGTGCCAAGTTCAGACTCGGCTAAGCAGTGACAAGACCCTGACAGAGAAAAGGTGGCCCGAGGGGTGGGACTCTGAGGATCCAGCAGGGCCTGAAGCCTGGCTGTTGGATTCCCACCCTTTCCTGGAGTTCTCAGGTCCCAAGGAATCGGCAGGCCCACGGGAAAGGGGCTTCCTGAAGCTTCCTCACACGCTCATTCTCAGTCTCCAGAGTCCCATCACCTCGGTGCTCTCCCCTGACTCCTGATCCTGCTAATACCATGAGCACAATTATTTCTCAAATTACGCTCACTTGAAGACCGGCAGATTCAGTGCCCGTCAGCTTCCTCCCGATGGACATCCAGGCTCTCGGCATCTGGGGAGTCACTGATACCCGGTGAGTTCCAGAACAGCAGCACCAGTCCCGCGTCCTGGAGCAGCTTCCAGAGCCCTGGCTACACCACGTCCACATTAGCGCCGCCTCCGGCTGGACAGGAAATGCAAGCGGCCCTGTCGGACACCACGCTGTCCAAGGCTCGCATCAGGATGTCCGGCATGTGGTCTGTTAGCATCTTTGGGCCGATGAGGATTCTGCTGAATTCCGATTCATGGGACCACTTCGCTCGATAATGAGCAGCAGAACAGCAGCAAAACCTGACAGAGAGAAAAGATGAGCTAGCGAGGCATCACTTGGGGTCTAACCTCCACACACATTTTCTCTTGCTGGTGGCGAGTGGACTGAGCCGCGCCAGGCCCCGGGCCACGCCGCCACACTCACCTCCCTGAAGTGCCCTCTTCTTCCAGGTGGATGATCCTGCCAGGTGGGTAGAGAGGCGGGTACTTGGTGGGGGACTCCAGCGGGGAGTCGCTGGAGCAGCTGTATGCTGGGGACCAGTGCGTCAGCAGACTCTGCTCCGCCAGGAGAGGCTGCGTCAGGTCTCCCCGGTCACCGCCGTCCAGCTCGGTAGGCAGGTTATCGGGATCCCCTCCAAACAGCTCGTACCAGCATCCGTGCAGCAAGATCTTGTACTGAGGGCGAGACCCAAGAAGGCGGCACGCTCGCGACTCAGGCTTTCACTGTCACCGGCGACCTGGGGCCCATGAGCTACTGTTAGGTGGCAGTGAGCCTGAGCTTGACAGAGGCCCAGCTGTTCTGTTTTTTAAGTTGTGGATCTTAGGGGTGTGGAGGTCACTGGGCCCAAACTCAGCTGTCTCTGGGGCAGTGAAGCCACCACACTGGCAGCAATAGCCAAGAACCAAATCATGCAGATTTTGAGGAAAAAATTACCATTAATTCTTCTCGGGCAATTCTGCAAACCAGTTTTACTCTTCCCTTAGAGACATTAGCTACTAATTTTTAAAAATTTTGGGGGCCGGCACAGCGGTTAAGTTTGCATGTTCCGCTTCAGCGGCCTGGGGTTCACTGGTTCGGATCCCGGGTACGGACATGGCACCATGTGGCAAGCCATGCTGTGGCAGGCGTCCCACATACAAAGTAGAGGAAGATGGGCACGGATGTTAGCTCAGGGCCAGTCTTCCTCAGCAAAAAGAGGAGGATTGGCAGCAGTTAGCTCAGGGCTAATCTTCCTCAAAAAAAAAAAAAAAAAATGGCGGGGGCAGGGTAGTTTAGACAGTTTACGTAAAATTAACTTTTTCCCTGGGGGGTGGCTCTGTGGCGAAGTGGTTAAGTTTGGTGTGTTCCCTTTTGGCAACCCAGGCTTTTGGGTTTGGACCCCGGGTGCAGACCTGCATCACTTGTCACCATGCCATGGCGGCATCCCACATATAGAGTGGAGGAAGACTGGCACAGGTATTAGCTCAGGGCTAATCTTCCTCAGCAAAATAAATAAATAAACAAATAAATTCCTGATTAGCAACAAAAACAAAATATCAGAAAACAAAGAGGTTAAAAAGTGAAAATCATCTCTAATCCCATCATCTAAATAAAACCGTATTTTAGCGTATTGGTGTTTTGGGTCAAAACTCCTTGTCACCTCCCCCTGCCTCAGATCATACCTCTAAGAATCATTTTTTAGCCTGCTCTTTTTTGTTTTTTTTTTAAGCTTTTCAATACCTCACAGATACCTTTCTCTACTGGTAAATATACAGTTGTCACCGTTTTTAAGAAGTGTCTAACACTCCACATTTTGATACACTAGCACACCTCCTAAACTCTGTTTGGCAGCCTTATCTTCAAAGCTTTGGGAGCAAAGCCATTAGGATACTGTTGGTCACAAGACAGGGCTAAGAAATATGACAAAGCAAATCCCTCAACTAGAACGGCGACGGTTCCGTCACAGCATTTCCTAAGCGGCCCCCTCACGGACTTGCTTCACCGTCTGCCTCCTTGGGCCTCATCAACGCCCGCCAGACGGAGGTCTACACAGCGTGGAGAGAGCCGCCAGCACCAGCGTCCAAGGCTCTGGGCTGAGAGCCTCTGAGTTTGGAAACCTCTCTCAATGCCACAGACGGGCTCGCAGGGAGGCCCGAGCTCCTCGGATCCTCTTGCACGGCCGTGCCGGTTACCTTGGGCTTGTTGCAGTGAGCAATCACACGCAAGAGCCTCCTCTTCAAATCCTCCAGGTTGGTCACACTTAACCTGTTTACAAAAGATCAGGCTGAGGCTCGGTGCTCGGTCTTTTCAGTCCCCCACCCCAGACACAGTATCCAGCAGACTCACCTGGGAATCACGTCATCACCCAGGACAACGGACACTATGAAGCTCTTAGAGTATTCATAGAGGGATTTGCTGAAATTTCAAAAAAAAACTAGTGAGGTTTTATGATTCTATTGCCCACAGAGAGCTTCAGAGAGAGAAATCAAGTAACTCTGCCAGGTCAGGGGGAGGTCACTTTTCACAGAACTCAGCTCTGTTCCCTATCCTCTGAAGGGGAAGAGAAAGAAAACACAGGGACTTCAATTAGAGCAGCTCACTGGCCAGATTCTATTAAAGCCACAACACACAGCAACAGAGACGATCCACAGCTGAAATTTCAAACCAGCTCACGATGGGGGACTGAGCAGACGCACTCATTCTCAGAGCCAGCAACTCCACTCGGAGGAACCTCACACAGGCGGACCGGCAAAAACGTCAGACAGATGCAGAGGTCTATTCACTGCAGCTCTTCCCACGTGTGGGGGCAGAGGCTGGAACCCACCAGTGCCCATCGACAGAGCACTGGGGGCACAGCCACAGAGCAGCGAGGCCCTGCAGCTGCGCGGGAGTGCGGGTGGTTTGTGTGCTGTGGCGCCTCGGGATACCCCGTTCAAGTTAAACCCGACAGCAAGATGCAGGAGAGCAGGGAGAGCACGGTGCCTTCCTCCAAGAAGGGGGGAGGAACACAAACATATGGGAAAACAGTGAAAAGACAGGTCATAAACTATTAAAAATGGCTTCCTCTGGGGGGAGAGAAAGGCCACTGCTGAGGGAGTAACGAGGGAGAGGAGACTTCTCTGAGCGCACTGGGCTTTGCGGGGTTGTCTTTGGAACCAAGTTACTGTTTTATACACAGTCACGTGTCACTTAACGACGGGGACCCGTTCTGAGAAACGCGTCATTAGGCGATGTCATTGTGCGAACACTGTAGCCGTAGAGTGTCCTCACACACACCTAGACGCACAGCCTACGACACAGCTACGTTGTACGGTGCTGATCCTATGGGACCTCTGTCGTCTGTGTGCTCTGTCACTGACCAAAATGTTATGTGACACATAACTATATAGGAAACAAAACTACATCAAAGTAACAGCAAAAGCAGTCCCTAAAATCATAAGCCAAATGAAACAAAAGAACCTAAGAGTGTACTAACCAAACAGAAGAATCATTTCAAGTGACCTTTTTTTTTTAAAGATTGGCACCTGAGCTAACAACTGTTGCCAATCTTCTTCTTTTTTTTTTCCTGCTTTATCTCACCAAATCTCCCCCGTAAATAGTTGTATATCTCAGTTGCAGGTCCTTCTAGTTGTGGCATGTGGGACGCCACCTCAACATGGCCTGACGAGCGGTGCCACGTCCACACCCAGCATCAGAACCGGCGAAACCCTGGGCCGCCGCAGTGGAGCATATGAACTTAATCACTCAGCCACGGGGCCGGCCCCTCAAGTGACTTTAAAACAACAGTAATTTGGCTGTACCTCTCTAGTAGGAATAGAACCAAAGAAAAAACAAACTGCAAAGCAATCTCAAACTGCTCCCAGGACTCATCCTGTCAGAGTCATACTGGACTACCACTCTGAAACCAGGACCTCTCAATCTGGGGTATGTGGATATATACATAGTGAGAGAGAGAGAAATGCAAATTAAAGATAAGGTGAATGCTGACAGAAACCAAAATTTTTAGCATAGGAGAAAAAAGACACAAAGAATTTTGGAAAAACCAAGTATACAATCAAATAATCTAAGTAAAAACCCTGATCTGTAATTGGAAGTATCAGTATGAATTAAGGGTATATTTTCTCTTTGGGAGAACAAAAGCATTTCCTACCTCTTTCCAGTGAAAAGGCCTAGAAACTGTGACCTGCTTTGTGTTAATGATCATTCCCAGTGCCCAGAGTAGAGTCTCTGAAAAGCATTTCCCACTCAAGGAAACCAGTACTCCTTGGAGAAATGGCTGACTCCAGATACACCACAGGGCAAAACACTTGAGAACGTTTTGCAGTGCCAGAAAGCAAGAAACTATCCGATGAGTGGGGTTGTGTAGGATGAGCGGCCTAGGTGAAGGGACTCCCACTGGCCAAAGATGGGACAGTGTGGACATCAAAAGAGTAACTGCAATGGACCGAAAGAGAAAGATGCTGAAGCTCATGGGCTTATAACGATGGTTTAAAATAACTCACGTCTGTCTCTGGAGATTGCTAGAATACCAATTCATTATTCTGAACACTACCAAATAAAGGGAAAGAGTCAAGCATTTATTCTGCTTTTCCTGTGTGAACTATACTTCAGAGTAAACCAAATACTTGAAGAAAAGTTCTTCATAATTTTCAGTTAATAACTGCAGAAGAAACGACAGAAACAGAATATCACCATTTTGCAACCTCTAATGAAATATGTATGTATTAATCATTAGCTGCTAACAACACAGAGAGAGACAAGCAGACATGTGCCTCCCAATGTGATGCAGTGGGGATGACACACCATTACTGTGACGTATTGTCAAAAAAACCCTCCTGCATCTGATCGAATGTCTAGACATAATTAGAATTTTCTAGGAAATACAACCAACTAAAGGGACAGAGGAACATGTTAAATGACACTAGGAGTATACAATAAGGAAAATCCAGAATGTGGCTTCTCCAGAACAAATAACCTGGTTTCAGAAATAAAGAAGTGGGGGGGAATCTATACATTAAAAGAATTGCAAGACAAATTCACCAATGCGAAGAACCTTGTTTGGGTCTTAATTCAAACAAGTCAACTGTAAAACATTTATGAGATAATTGGGAAAATGTGATCAATTACTAGAATCAAGGAATTGTTAATGTTTTTCAAATGTCTTATCTTTGGGGCCAGCCTGGTGGCACAGTGGTTAAGTGCGCACATTCCGCTTCGGCGGCCTGGGGTTCACCAGTTCGGATCCCAGGTGGGGACATGGCACCACTTGTCAAGCCATGCTGTGGTAGGCGTCCCACATAGAATGCAGAGGAAGATGGGCATGGATGTTAGCTCAGGGCCAGTCTTCCTCAGAAAAAAGAGGAGGATGGGCAGCAGTTAGCTCAGGGCTAATCTTCCTAAAAAAAAAAAAAAAGTCTTATCTTTTAGAGACATATTAAGATATTTACAGATGAGATGATACATCTCAGATTTGCTTCCAAGTAATCCAGCTATGGGGATCTGTAGGAAGCAGGATGGGGTATATGAAATGAGATTAGTCATATGTTAATAAATTAGTGAAGCTGATTAAATGGCGGTTCATTATACCATTCTATTCTTGTTTGCATTTTTTAATTCTTGTATGAAAATTCTGTAATAAAACAATAGATGGTTTTAAGAGATTATTATAAGCAGCTGAAGAGAGAATTAATGAAATAGAAAACAGACCTGAAGAAAGTATCCAGAATGTTGCACACAGAGGCAAAGACTCGGAGGATCTGAGAGGTCGGACACGCAGAGTGAGAAGGTAGAATATGTGTCTAACTGAGGCCCCCAAAGAAGGGGACAGAAGAGAGCAGGGGCAATATGCGAAAGCACAGTGAGTTTCAAGAATCTAATAAATTTCGAGGAAGATGCATTAAAGGAGACCACTAAACAGCAAAGCAAACCCCCACGTAACCTGGATGCATCTTGCTGAGCCGAAGCACAACACAAGAGACTATACATGATCTCATTTACATGACATTCCAGAAAAGAAAAAACTATAGTGACAAAAAGCAGACCAGTGTTTGCCCGGGGGTGGAGGGGGTTAACTGCAAAGGGACATGGAGAACACCGTAATGGTGGTCTTACCAGCACCGAACGACAAAAAGAAGGAAAGAAGATAAAACTGTCCTCTACAGATGAAATTATTAAATACATTAAAAAATCAAAAAGCATCTGCAAATGAATTATAATTAGTGAGAAAATTTAACAGGTTGGGATACAAAATCAAAAGACAAAATTCTATGGATTATATATGTCACCAACAGAAAGAGAGTAACAAATGCCCAAGAATAAACCTAACAAAAGATGTATAAGACTTTACAGAGAAAATTATAAAACCTTATTGAAGACCTTGAAGAGTACTTGAATATTTGGAGAATGACTTTATGTTCATAGACTCAGAAGCTCAAAACAGTCATGAGCCATTTCAGTCAATGACAGACCGTATGTACAGCGGTGGTCCCAGCAGATTATAATGGAGCCTAGGTGTGTAGTGGGCTATACCATCTAGGATTGTGTAAGTATATTCTATCATGTTCGCACAATGACAAAATCGTTTAATGATGCATTTCTCTGAATGTACCCCGTCATTAAGCAATACATGACTGTGATATAAAGATGTCACTTCCCTCCCAATTGAACTAGAAAAGAAAGGCAGCAGAAATCACAGTTCCAATAAACTTTTGTTTATAGAACATGAAAAACTGATTCTAAAATTTACACGGAGGTGCAAAGGGCTAAGAAAAGCCAATATGCTCTTGAAAAAGTAAAAGGCATGGGGATTTGCCCTACTTGAGGCCAACAGTTAGTTTCAAACTAAGATAATCAATCCGGTGTGGCATTAGAGCAGAGACAGATGATGAGACCAGTGGAAGAGAGGACAGAATGCAGAAATGGACTCGTGAATATGGACACTTCACAAATGACAAAAGCGGGGCTGCATATAAGCAGGGGAGGAGGAACTTTTCAGTAAACAGTGCTAGGACGATGCATTGTTTGTGTGAGGAGGGTAAACGGAACTGGATCCCTACCTCATACGAGATACACAAAAAGGCCAACCAAACAGATTAAAGACCTAAAGAAAGGTGAAAAGGCAGAATAAAAGGCTGGTAGAAGACAACAGAGCAGACTAGCTCTACATCCTTAGGACAGAGACAGATTTCTCAAAAAGAAACAAAACCCCAAAAATCATAAATGAAAAGAATGATAAATTAGTCAATGTTAAAATTAAGAACTGATGAGCAGAAGACAGGACTCAAAGTAAAAAGACACACTGAGGAGTGGAGAGCATATTTACAACACATACTCACTAACAACAAAGAACTGACATACAGAATATACACACGAACTGATGAGGAAAAAACATGAGCCAATACAAAAATGGGCAAAAAGATTTTCAAAAAAGTGGAAACTCAACAGCTAATAAGTATACATGAAGAGACTCAATTTCATTAGCAATCATGAAAATGCAAATTAAAACACAATGAAACATCACTACACACCCATCAGACTGGCAAAATTTTAAAAGTCTGACAATATTAAGTGTTGACGAGAATATGGAGCAATGTGAACTCGCATACATTGCTGCTGAGAGTGTAAACTGGCACAGCCACTCTGTAAAACAAACACTGGCAGAAAATGTGACACTTGAGTGCGTGCAAACTCCATGATCTAGTCGTTCCCATCGAGACCTACGCCTCAGAGAAAGTTCATTCCCGCACTGGAAACAACCCCATGTCCATCGCCAGTAAAACAGATAAATAATTTGTGATAGAGATATGATGAAAAATAACCAGAATTTACAGAGTAACATCTTACAGGCATCAAACATAATGTGGAACAAAAGTCACAGAAAAAAAGTACAATTCTATTTATACAAAGTTCAAAATCATGCAAATCCAAACTACAGTACATAAAGCCTTGTATACAAGTGGTAAAACTATTCTTTTTAAAGCAAGGGAGAATGTTCACAAAGACTAGGACAGCGCTTGTCTGTAAGCAGGACAGCAGAGGATGAGCAAGGAACTTCTAAGGCACCAGCAGTGCTCTATTTCTCTACCTGGGGTGGCTGCAGGTGTGTGTGTGTATTTAAACTAGCTTTACTGAAGTGTAATTTACACCAGTAAAATCACCCATTTTAAGTGTGCAATTTGATGAGTTTTGAGAAATGCATGTAAGTGTTTAACCAGCACCTGGTACAATGAAGGTATAGAGCATTTCCAACACCCTCAAAGCTCCCTGTGTCCCTTTGCAATCAACTTCACCTCGACCCTAGGCAACCGCTGATCTGCTTTCTGTCATTACAGTTTTGTCTTTTCTAGAATGTCATACAAATGGAATCATAGACTAGGTCTTTTGTATCGGGCTTTTTTCACAGAGCAAAATACATCCAAGTTGTATGGATGTTTGCTTATTCTCAAAAATGTATGTTTTGTCTTTGTCTTATAATAAAAAAAGTTATTTTTAAAAAGTCACTCATCTTTTAATATATATGTTTAAATATATTTTGATATAAAAAAGCTTTAAAAAATTTTAAATGTACGCAAATATTTATGTATAAAGATATTGACATAATTACATATAAGAATGAAAAAATGAAAAGAATGTAAATATCCATCAGTAGTGGAATAAGTAAAAATGTTGTAACCAGATGATAGAATATTAAGCAACTATTTAAAAAACATGTTCTTGGGGCCGGCCCCGTGGCCAACTGGTTAAGTTCGCGCGCTCCACTTCCGTGGCCCAGGGTTTCACTGGTTCGGATCCTGGGCGCGGACACGGCACTGCTCATCAGGCCATGCTGAGGCGGCGTCCCACATGCCACAACTAGAAGGACCCACAACAAAAATATACAACTATGTACTCGGGGGATTTGGGGAGAAAAAAGCAGAAAAAAAAAAGAGAAGATTGGCAACAGTTGTTACTCAGGTGCCAATCTTAAAAAAAAAAAAGAAAAAAAAAATTAATTTTAAAAAACCCCTAAAAAACAAAAAAACCCAAGATATTCTCAAAGAATATTTAAGGATATAATATATAGGTTATTATTTCAGTTTGTAAAACCCATTTCCACACACACAAACAGCTGGAAGAAAACAAGCCTAAATAGTTACCATGGTGATTTCTGGGTAGATCTCTGATCTCTCCACATTTTAGTATTTTCCAAAATTTCTACGATGGCTACAGATTTCTTTTTTTCTCCTTTCTTATTGTAGGACAAATTTCTTTTATAATCAGGGCAATAGGTCATACAGAACAGCCCAGGATTAAGTATGTTGAGTCAGAAACGAAAAATGTACTTTTCAAACTCATAAAAAATGAATCTTAGCACTGTCTCATTTAGGAAATCAAAGCTATGGGCAGACAGGCCTATGAAAAGCTATTCAGTCTTTCTTCAACTAAACAGTGCTTCAAAACAAGCTTCCCTTGAGACTGAGAAGTAAAAGACCAGCCTTGACCGTGCCACTTGCAGCAGCGCCCTGTTACCTCAGCAGCCCCCGCGGCGGGGAGAAGGCGTAGCAGCGGACCTGCGGGTGGGACTGTCTGAGCATGATGGCCAGCAGGGCTGCGGCGCCCGCCCCCAGGCTGTGCCCCACGATGACCAGCCGGTATTCCTAGAGGACAAAAGCAGGAAGAGTCAAGGTTAAAAAGCAAACAGCTGATGACAGAGAAAATGAAAGAAAAGAAAAATTCAAAAAATCTCACAGGAGCAATGCTGAAAGCTTGGCTCAAAATCCCATCGTTGACGAGTCGTCGGTAAACATATCGGGCAGCTTGAGAAATCCCCTAAAAATGCAGACAAAGGAGGTTGCTGGCGATGGATCGTGAGACAGATGACGGGATTACACTATGTACCCCTATTTGTGATTCTGTCTCCCCCAGTAGGAATAAGCATCTTGGGATCAGCAGCCACGTCTGTTGCTCACTGTTGGGATCCTGGCTCCTGACGCCACGTTCCGCATGGAGCATGCTCAGTAAGTATTTCCGTGTATGAGGCTGACATCAGGAAGACCTCTCCATGTCAACAGATGCAGTGCTGCAGCCACAGTATCCTGCGGGACGGGCGTGCCACAGTTCCCCTGAGCCCAGTCCGCACGGCTGGCAGATTTCAGTTTTAAATGAGGAATCGTTTAAAATGATGTTCAAACTTGAAGTTCTGAAGCAGCAGCCCTGACTAAGCACCCACCGTTCCCGCAACAGCAAAGCTAAAACCAGCAGAAGGGAGTTCTAGGGAGGTCAGGTTTTGGGTTAATTTCAAAAAAAATAAATAAAATGTAAAATTTCCTAACAAATACAGCTGTCCTAGGAAACAGACTTCTTGAAAATTAAGTAGTTCTAATGGAAGAGAGAAAACCCTGTTGATCAGAAATATTTTCGGAGTGCTTCCTACACAAGCCCAGAGAGCCCGGCCCTGTCCTTGTGCAGCTTGTCCTCTGACGAGATGAAGCAGGAGACCCTCTGTGTAGGATGGGAGACTGTCGTGACCACCGCTAAAGCTACTGCAAATCCCTGACTCTGCAATCCTGCAGGTAGAAGGCTGAACCCGGCCTCACCTACGAGGAACCGAGAGAAGGTTCCCGGGTTGAACATTCAGGGCACAACGTGACAGCACTTCTTGACAAAGCATCCAGTTTCCCTCTCCTCCCCTCCCACTATGCAATTCAGTCCACTTCCTTCAACATTTATTAGCCACCTACCCTGTGGCCGGCTCTGGGCAGTCAAAGCCCAACAGAACCTGGGCCACCACTGCCGCTGATGGTAAGTCTCCCGGCACACGTGTTACTGTCGAAATGCCAGGACTGTTCTCAGCTGCGCGGCTTTGAACTCCAGTTACTGCGGACAGACAGTGTCAGAGCCAAAACTTGGCAGAACAGAAGCCTAGAGCAGGGACCAGCTCCTGCCCCTGAGCCTCGAGCAGCTGCCTTCCTGGCCGGAGGTGAGAGCGTTACCGAATGAAACAGCCCTGGAGGAGGCCTCAGCCGGGAACAAAGCCAGGCCTAAAGGGGCGCAGCTGGTGGTCACACAAAGCCGTCACGGTGGACAGATTCCTGCGGGAGCGGAACCACAGCCCCGCTCCCCGCACTGTGCAGGTATTCCGAGGTTGGCTGGCTGATGTGTCTCCATAATAAGGCTTAAAATTTTTGTATTTCTTCACACACGCCCAAAATAGGTAAACTGGACTCTTTTGTGAATTGAGGCACAAAAAACCAGCTAAAGGTTAAAAGAAACAGTTCATATTCCTAGGGCTGTCAAGCTTCCAACTGTGGCAGACACAGCCTCTACCCTGCCTCCTCTCTGACGGCTGTCCCAGCAGGATACTGCGGCTCAGTCACCAGCAGCTAGACTCCTGCTCTAACACGTATTTTTATAAAAATTAAGCATTTTACTTAAAAGTGGTTACTACAGAAGTCACAGATGTTTCGGTTAAGGAAACATATGAAGTGTATAAAAACAGCACAAGCGCACTGCCCTCCACCCCTGACATACCGCTGCCGTCACCTCTGGGAGGGAATCATTCCAGACTTTCCCTCAAACACGAGGACACTGCTCGGCAACCTCGTCAGTCATGAGGGAAATGCAAACCAAAACCACAGTGAGGCGGCCCTTCACATCTGCTAGGCTGGCTATAATAGAAGGAAAAAACCCAGACACTAAGTGTTGACGAGGATGTGGGGAAATGGGGACCCTCCGACGCTGCTGGTGGGAACGTAAAATGGCGCAGCTGCGTTGGAAAGCAGTCTGGTGGTTCCTCAAAAAGTTAAACATAGAAATACAACGAGACCCAGCAATCTCACTTCCGGGCACATACCCAAAAGAAGTGAGAGTGAGGACTCGGAACGGATATCTGCACACAAGTCCACAGCACCATTATTCGCAACAGCCCAAATGTGGCCATAACTCAAATGTCCATTGACAGACGACTGGATAAACCAAAGGTGGTATATGTACACACGGAATATTACTCAGCCTTAAAAAGGAAGGAAGTTGTGACACATGCTGCAACATGGACACTGAAAACAGTATGCCAAGGGAAATAAGCCAGTCATAAGAGGACAACTACTGTACGATTCCCTCGTGTGAGGTGCCCAGAACGAGCAAATTCACGGAGACAGTGGGATGGTGGTTACCAGGGGCTGGGGGAGGGGGATTAGTATCTACTGGAAGTTTATGTTTGGGATGGTGAAAAGGTTTTGGGTACAGATAGTGCTCATGGGCACACAGCATTCTGAACGTACTTAATGCCACTGAATTGTACGCTTATAGATGGTTTACATAATAAATACTATGTTATGTACAGTTAAAATTATTAGAAAAGGCCAACAACTGTGCTCTGGGCAGGCCGTATTCTGGTCCTTCAGGAGGAACTTACGCAGCCCACCCCCACAGCACAGTAACAGTGAAACAAGAACTCGGCTATTGCGACATCCACAGAGAAAACCTGAGGACCGACACGCAGGGAAGTGCTGACAGTGCCGCCTCTCAGGAGGGGTCCTGGGCGGGAGGCTGAGCCTGCCCCGTGTCAGGACACTGTACTAGGTGTAGTGTGCTAAACAGCTTGGTTTGCTCGGTACTGTACTGAAGCTTTTTTCGCCATGAGAACGTATTCTTTAATTACAAGGGAAGAGAGTGTTCCACTGTGGCTCACGTGCCGATTCTGACACTGGTTCCGCTAACTGTGCGGCCTCTGGCAAGTCGCTCCTTCACTCTGAATCTGCTTCTTTCTCTTAAAAGACAAAAGCGAAAGCGACCTCACAGGGCGGAGGTGAGACTGCGCTGCAAGGATGAAAGCACTCACACTGCACAGCTCTTGGCGCATAGCAGCTATTCGTTACATGGCCAGCATTAATGGGAGACAGGCAGAGTTGGGAAAATTCTGGCCCCTTTGAGTTTCTCCTTAATGGAATATTCCAGACCACAAACCCCAGGGCTTCTACCTTGTGTGCCGAGCAGTCTTGCACTTCACACTCCAAGTTGAGGGTCTCGTTCTCCGCTGACAGGTCCGTAAGGATGTCCTAGAGAAGTGCGTTGGAAGAAGAGGCCGTCAGTCGGGATGAGCGGGGCACTGTCTGAGGCTGGGCGGGTGGGTCTCTCTGAGGGACAGGGGACATATCCCAGTCTCCTGGGTCAGACTACTGAGACCTGAACTGGAGATGCCTGAACTCGGGAGACAAACCCAGGTGGCTAGGTAGGTCCTGAGGAACCCGGGGCATGTCCAGCCCTGGGCCAGGAGTGAACACTGCGGAGGGGGACATGGGACACGTCTAAGACACACCCTCTGCCTTCCCTCTCCGCACACATCTTCTAAGCACCCACGAAGCACAGTGCCCAGTCCCAGGGCTCCCAGTCACCGGCCAGCTAACACATAAGGCGGGGTAAGAGACCCAGCAGACGCAGCAGGGGGTGAGCACTGCAGGGCCAGGAGGCTTCCTAGAGGAGGCGGAGCCGGAGCCCGGAGGACAAGCTCACTTCTGGGAAGGAGACGGGAGCAGCAGGACCCAGGCAGAGGCGTCTGACTGTGGAAAGCAGGTGGCGGGCCAGGCACAAGTGCTCAGCTCTGGACGCATCAAGGGGCCCTGGGCAGAACCTGAGAGGCTGGTGTGGCCCCAGGACCCAGTGAGCCCGGCCCACTGTGGGGAGGGGCTCCACACCTACACTATTTACAAAGCTGCCAGGGTTAGGAACCACTGGTGTGCAGTGGGAATTGGAAAGGCAGCCTGGGGTTAGTCCTAAAGCACCGACAGAACTGTGATAAGAAACATGAACTTTGTATCAAAAGCATGGAAGTCACTGGAGGCCTCTGAGAAGGACTGGTAAGATTGGACCCAGGTTCTAGAAAGAGTGCTCTGTGGACAGTATAAAGGACAGATTGGGAAGAGGAGAGAGGAGAGACAGGGATGGAGGTAGGAAACGATTTCACTGGCCAAGGAAAGAGAGGACTGGGCCAGAACTAGTGCCATGGCGCTGGGAACGGAGGAGATGGCTGGAGACACTGCGGCTGGGGCCGGGCTCCACGCACAACAGAATGGGCGGTATGCAAGGGGAGAAACTGAAGATCACTCCACCGTTCCTTTAGTGGGCAGCTGACGGACGCCGCAAAATTACCAGAAATGGGGGGCCCAGACGGAAGAGCGCGTCTGTGAGGAGGTGAGGCGTCTGCTTTCTTTGGTGCCTCAGGGCAGACCCAGACCGCTCTTGAAGACGCAGGTGTGGGTCCTGGCCAACAGCCCGAGCTGCAAGCCCTGCCCCACAGAACTGGTCAGAAAAAGCAGAGGGTCAAGCGCTTGAACTTTTAAGTCTCATTACATGTTCTGGGTCAGCAGAGAAGCAAGCACCAGGAAATGAGACTGAGGAACGGCCAAGAAGAGACCAAAAACCATGACACAGAAATGGAGAGAAGTAAGGTGTCCAGTATCTCCAAGGGGCCGAGAAGGCAGGAATGAGCAGGATGGAAGGGGGATCTGAGGGTTGAACGGCAGTTCTCGCAGCATCCGGAGAAGAGCAGGCCACGTGGGGCTGGCAGAGAAAGCCAACACACAGGAACTGGCGGTGGAGCTGACAACAGTACCATTTCACTTACTATCCCCTTCTGGCTCTGGGAGCAAAAAATTCAATGGGAGGGTCACCCAGATTGGGGGCTTGGCAAGGGCACATCAGGGGAGTCAAGTGGGCACCCGTCTAGGAGCTCCTCGAGCCAGGGAGCCAACCCTGCTGGCGGCTATGTTTCTGACATTTCTCAGTTACAAGGAAACAACTTCATTTGTTTTCTCAAAGGGAGTGTTTCACAACCCAGGATTCGCTTCCTCATTTTCCATCACCAGTGTTTTCCTGTGTCTGACGCTGATCTTAGGAATGCTTCTTCCCAGTTCCGGCACAGCAGGGTCTCCCGGCATCTGCAGCTGGTTGATTTGCAGTATCCCTGGGCCCCTCCACCCAGTTCCCAGGTCTGATGCGGCAGGCCCCTCACCTGGAGAGACATGGTTCCTCTCACAGCTACCACAATAGCTTCTTTCCTGTGATCCAGGGCCACTAAAAACGGGAGCTCATATACCTGAGGGAGACAGAAACAAGCACAAGGCCTGAATAGCAAGAACGCGTCTCTACTGAGACAGCCAAGCCAGCGCAGCGTCTCTAACAACACAGCAGCCCACGAGAAACCTGGCTCGTGGCGGAGAGGGGGCACAGCGACTCACCTCTCTGCTCATCCTCACGAGGCAGGACGACTACTCTGATGCTCTGTAGACGACAGGCTTTCATGAAACAGCATGCACTCCTGTGACAAAGGACCTCCGCTTTCCTTTCTAGCCTCCCTGACCCCCACAAGCACAGCTACTGCACTGGTGCAGGTGGACACAGTCTGACTTGGCCTCCCTCATTTTAGTCCCAGCATCTCCAGTCATGGTAGTCAATGGTAAATCCAGTCAATGGTAAATCCAGTCCTGTGGGGACCAACTGAAAGCCATCCCTCTGGGCAAGGGCCCACAGGCGCTGCTCACCAGAGACTCTCTTAGTCCCCATCACCCTGTTACCCTCGGCGGCGGGGTGGGGCCATCTCAGGGGCAGAGCGGAGCCCCTCCTTTGTCTAATTCCCAGCAGGGGGAAGAGGCCGCAGCCCTGGGAGCATCCACTGCCATTTAGAGCAGCCACGGCTCCAGTGCACTTCCTTCAGGCCAAGCCCCGAGAGAACACCGAGGGTCTGGCGTGAGGCAGCCCTGGGTAGGGAGCTCTGGCCTGCCCCTTTCCTGCCACCTCATCTCAAGCAAATGTCCAAAGTCCTCTTATTCTCTGTTTCCTCGTCTTGAAAAAGGCTATAACGGCCCCTAACTCTTCCGGGTGGCGTGCAGACTGAGAAAATGCCTGGCTCGTGGAAGGCAACTGATCAGTGGCAGCAGTTCTAAGATGATGGCCACCTGTGTCTGGTGGCCGCTATGTAACTGAGGCAGGCAGGAAAGAAGGCTGCTGACTTCATTTCCCTGGTTTCCACAGGAGAGGGACTTTCGCATGATGATATTGCGGGGGTGCTCCTTGAAAGAGCTCACGGAATCACAAACCCTCTATGATAAACTGTCTGCTTTAAAACACACCAGTCCTTGCTGTCATTACCACTCAGTGAAGGGGCCGAGGCCCGGGCTCCTGTCCTTTGCTGCCCACCAGCCTCACTGAGGATAGTGAAACAACACTCAGCCTGCTCTCACCCTGACACTCTGATTGACCTGGAACGGCGTGTGACCCGGGCAGTGGGCTTTCTAACTCCCCGGGTGAGTCTTCAGTCAGCAGTTCGGCAGCCACTGGGCTGGGAGCGTCTCTAGAGGATCCCACAGTCGTCTGCATGCTGGAACCACCTGGGGCTTCCTGAGCTGGGGTCCCAGTGCCAGAAACTCTGATTTAATTGATCTGGGGTGTGGCCTGGGCTTCGGGAGTTTTCAAAGCTCCCCAGGAGAGTCTCTTAGGCAGCCAATTTGAGCACCGCCACACCACACCAGTGGGTCTTAACTTCTGGTGCATGAGAATCACGTGGAGAGCTACGAAGCAACACCAAGGATGGGTCACAGACGCCAGACAGAGCTGGCTTCTGTATGTGCGCCAGCTTCCCCAGAGACTCCCATCGCCCGCAGAGCATGAGACGCACCGCACTCCCCCATTGTGGACGGAGCTCAGATCCAGAAACAAGGACTGACTGATGCCGGACAGCTGTGTGGGAGTATTGCCAAAGGCAACTCACTGCTCTTCAATAAAAGGTGGGCTCACAGAAAACACAGCAGAGGATCGCTGACGAAGACTTTTTGCTCCATCTTATGTTAAACTTGTGTGGGCTCTAAGGGGGTTTGTGAACCCCCTGAAATGGTATGCAAAATTTGGGGGTGGGTGAGTAAGTGTGTGTGTCTACGCACACTTTACTGGGGGAATAATTTACAACTTCCATCAGAATCTCAAAAGACTCCAGGACCCCAGGGAAGTCAGGAACCACTGTCATACTCTACCTTGTCATGAAAGCTTATATGAATGAAGTCCCTGTACTGGAGCCCCGTCGTCTGCAGGATGGAGCCAAAATGACAGCTGAGCCGATCACCTCCAACCAAGTCATATTCTGTTGTTCTGTTTCTGCAACTAAAACAGGGAGCAAAGGCGTTACTGGGCCAACCTGAGCCACTTACCAAAGAATATTAACCCCCACTGTCCCATTTTCCCAGCAAACATGAGGACCAGAGTTTACAACTTTCAGGACTTAGCCTGGCTAATGTAAAATGCCTTTAAAAGGTAAATATATTTCTGTGTCTATTTATTTTTTTAAACTTTTTTAAAAGGTTGCCACCTGAGCTAACATCTGTTGTCAATCGTTTTTTATCTTCTCCTCCCCTAAGCGCCCAGTACATAGTTGTATATTCCAGTTGTAGGTCCTTCTGGTTGTGCTGTGTGGGCCGCCGCCACAGCATGGCCTGATGAGCGGTGCAATGTCTGTGCCCAGGATCTGAAACGGCGAAACCCTGGGCCATGGAAGTGGAGTGCACAAACTTAACCACCCGGTCACGAGGCCGGCCCTCTGTGTATACTTCTTACCAGAGTTTTGACTTCTGGAATCATGTTAATGCTTTACATATTCAAAAAATAAATCAACAAGGATGGGAGAGACCCTAACGTTACCCATAACAGACAAAGTGGCATCACGTGTCTCCTGATACGATGTACTGAGGAGGACACAATGTTCCTCATGGAGCCTTCCTGACAAAAACCCATTAACTTGAATCTAATCATGAAGAAACCATCAGACAAACGTAAACTGAGGTCCGTTCCACAAAACAGCTGGACTGTTCTTTTCAAAATGTCAGTATCATGAAAGACAAAAAATGACTGAGGAACTGTTCCAAATGGATGGAGACTAAGGAGACACGACAGCTAAATGCAATGTGTAATCCAGGGTCGGAGGAAAAATTGCTCTAAAGGATATGATTGGGACAACTGGAAAAATGTGAAAACAAGATGTAAATTAGCTAAAGATTGATGATAAGTTTCCTGAATTTTATAATTATACTGTAGTTACGTAAAAGAATGTCCGTGTTCTTAAGAAATACCAACTGAAGTAACGAGAGAGAAAGAGGCATGATGCCTGCCCTTGAAGCTCGAACGGTGCAGGGGAATACATGTACATAGAGGGCGGACAGAGCACACACGATACACGTGAGTCTCAACGGGGGACTCCAGACAAAGGATCCATGGGAGTTCTCAGTACTGCACTTGCAGTTTTTGAAATATCTTAAAACAGAAGTTTTTTAAAAATGGAAATATGGGGCCTGCCCAGTGGCACAGCGGTTAAGTGCACACATTCTGCTTCGGCAGCCTGGGGTTCGCCCACCGGTTCGGATCCCAGGTGCAGACATGGCACCATTTATCAAGCCATTCTGTGGCAGGCATCCCACGTATAAAGTAGAGGAAGATGGGCACGGATGTTAGCTCAGGGCCAGTCTTCCTCAGCAAAACAGGAGGACTGCCAGCAGATGTTAGCTCGGGGCTAATCTTCCTCAAAAAAAAAAAAAAAAAGGAAATACAATTTTTAGAAAATAAAGTATGGAGAATCATAGTAAGTGACATCTAGAAGGAAGAGGGAGGCCTCAGGCCCTGCCAACTTACCAGTCACCACCAATCTTCCACAGCCCTGTAAATTGGTTTCTATAAATGTAGAGGGGCCAGCCGTAAGCAGCTGCTGCGAACTGCATATAATGACGGCAATTTTCTAATTCTGCATCCAAATCAGCTTCCTGTAAGAGAAGAAAAAAAGCTTTTTGTTTAGGGGAAGCCTATGGAGAGAATCAACACACTAAGATCTTAAACCTGAACTCACATTCCTGATTCTTCCCTTTCTTAATTCACTGAATAGACCTCTCAGAGGACTTCCATAGGGAAAACTGGTCCGGAAACACAGACTGTGGCGGACCCCTCATTTTATACAAAAATGCAGCAACTACGGTGGGAGTTAACGGCAGAAAACACCCTAATGACTGTTCTGTCCTGGTGAAATGAGCCAGTGACTTCCTATTAGATGACCACGATGACTAGCATATTTCCACACCGCAGCAAACAGGATGCTAAGAACTATGTGCTGGAATACAGTGCAGAGAAACACATATACCTATGTGCAACCTTCTCTTTCAAAGGCATAAAAATCTGTGGCAGAAAAACTATCATCAAGCAAAGTGGAACTGTCTCCGTTCCCCAGGCCCAAAGAAGAGAGCAAACACACCCAGGGAGAACCAGGTCCCACCCTAGAAGGAAGTTTTGATATGTTGACTCCAACAGGCAATTTTCTAAAAGAGGATGCTTTACAAATAGAATGGACAGTGAACTGGCCGGGAAGGGCCTCCATCTACCTGAACTCCAGGTGATGAGACGTCTCATCTGACAGGTGACAAACCACAACAAACAGAAGCTACAAATCAGATTCTAAGCCAAGTGCTCCTGAAACTGCCACTGGCTAGTCTTTTGTGGGTTTTTTTTGAAGATTTACAAATAAGTGTAAATGTCAAAACCATACAACCCAACAGAAACATGGGCTTACCTGGGAGGGCTCTGGGGAATGACTGATCACCTCATGAGGCTCCTGGTTATTTCTGATATTGTCCTGCTGCTGATGGAGAAGGGCGAGGCCGGCCGCGATGTCGCTGGGCACCAGATCTGTGTCCTGGATGGGAAACCACAACAGCTTGTCATAAAACTCAGCAGGAATTGCCCAGGAGTTCCTTAAGATCCAGGTTTATATAGTTCACATGCACAGACACACAGATACAGTTACATGTAAAAAGGTATTTTAAAAAGTATTTTCCTCTCAGGACTTCTATATGTGAGCTTAATGTTTTTTACTCTCCTGTCCTCAGACAAAATCCACTGGAGAACATAAAAATTCTGTCGATCTCTATTTTCAAATTTCACTTCAAGTGACTATGCTATTTTTAACCTATTTCACATCTTTTGTCAAGTGGGGGAGCAAATGGATAAATTCACCATCTTTGTAGTAATGGCTGATTTTAGCCCAAGCTTATTATACTCTCACTGCTCAAGATGCTGTGGAGGTTTTGTTGAAAGAGTCCCTAGTGGAGGTTTATGAGACGGAACTTATACTGAGTACAGCAAGCCTCAAACCAGGAAAGCAACAGAGTGGTCTCTGGACGAGAGCTACCCTTCTCTTTCAGGAGGGATACGGAGCAGGCAGGAATGCTCAACCACCTCCAGGCACTTCTGGTCCCTAAGGAAGGACCAGGTACTGGCCACTCAGCCACTGAGCCATTGGTTCTGCCTAGGATGCAGGTTAAGACATCCTCCAAGAATAGCCAGATTCTCCTCTTCCTTCTTCCAACTATCTGGAGACTTGGTTGAAGCACTCCTTTAAAATTATTTAGGGGGACACGCTTCTCTAATCCCTACACGGAGGCCGCTGCTACGGCCCGGTGTGAGGCTACAGGGCCAGCTCCGGACAGTGGAGACTCATGCACCACAGGGAGGGGAGAAGAAGCCTGGCAGGCATGCAGGACATGAAGAGAACCGCTCTCCCTTACTTGGTCTCAATACTGAACGTAATAGTGGTTTATCAGAGAACATTGTATGAAAAGACACACATTGGGTGGGGGAAAAAAACAAAACAATTATTTCCAAATCACTGAAGAAACTGCTCTAGAATGATCACAATTTTCTGGATTGCAAGAATCTATTTAAACTTTTCTTCAAAAGTAGAAAAATCTCTCATTTCTGTCATGCTATAAAGTAGTAAGAAACCAAGGTCTGATACTACCTTGGATGCATGACACTGCCTGTAGCTGGTATCTGCTGAGTACCAGCTGGATATGAAAAGACAACTGGCAAATTATTCCCCAAATGTACAGCTTTCATTACTTAGTTCCTTAAAAACTAATCCAAAATCTAGACAGTGTAACAAACAAGTGTCAACACCAGGATGCGCCAGTTAGAGAGGCAGGGTCTGAAAACTCAGGGCCTTGCTTGATGCTCCCTAGAGTACTTGAGTATTCATTCCAGGGAGGGTATCCACCCCCAATTCCACCACACTCACAGATTACAAGTTCTCAAGAGCTATTCATGCGAACAGGGGGAGTGGCTCAAAATACAGAGTACTCATCTTAACATAAGAAGCATTTACTTAAACAGAAGAAAGAGACCAAACCAGACCCCTTCAGCTTACTGAAAAGCAGGTTGAGAAAAGCTCTGCCGTACTCGAAAAAGCAACTCGAGTATGGTCATCTTTCCCAATGCAACAGCACAAGAACTTGATTCTGGCTTCCCATACGCTTGCAGCTGCTGTCTTGAGGCCATTAAGTAACTGGCTTGACTCATGACCATCCAGGTGATTGGGACCAGCAGAGGAATGTGGAGCTATTTTCCCCCCCAGCGGGTCAAAGACAATGAAAATGGTAACCACAGTGGAGGCGATGATAATCCAACTGCAAAAGAGGGAGGAAAAGGATGATGACTGTGGGTCCTACATCCAGATGCAGGAGTCAAAGGCTCCCTCCTGTGGGTTCAGTTTTTGCATCTGTACAACCGTAGCTCTAGTTACTGAGGGAGAGGGGGGATCTCCCAGAACCTGGCTGAGGTGAGCACTTGTTCTTCTAGAAAGTTCCTTATGAGCTCATGGCTAACCCAGGTCCCACAAAGATTAGAGCCCTAAAAGTAGAGACCACAAAAGAGAAAAAGGAGCTGTCTGGTGGTGGGCAGAGCTGAAGCCTGGGCACAGAAGGAGCCGGAACTTGTTCTCCATGGCCCCCTGTCCATGACCCAGGCCCTTACTCCTCAGTGTCTCAGGCCTCTTCTCGGTAAAACCAAAAGAATTTTGCCATATCGCAGGATACTCCGATAGGTCTTTCATTCATATGTTTAAATATTTCTGGACTGCCCACAATGTGCAAGGAACTGTGGATTCACAAATGTGTGTACTGGTGGGAAGATGAACCTCTGAGAAGGGACACTGCTGCCCCTGGCTGCGAGACTCAGGAAAAGCAGCAACAGAACGAGTCACAAGGGGATGTAACGAGATCATTTCTAAGATTTCTAGCCTGGAAAATGCAAAATCTTTCTTCTGGTGTTATTATTCTCTGTTGCAATTCCTGATGCTGCATTTCTTCTCACCCTACATTTAGTTTTTGCCCTTGTTTTGGTCTTCAGGTTTCCTTCTTTCTGAGGAGGGAGGGAATGCAGAAAAATGAGAACCAGTAAGAAAGGAAACGACATCAATAAATACATAATGGAAAATCAATTATTTCTCATGCATAAACAGGTGTCTCTAAACTTTCATGAGTTACCAAAAAAGGTCCAATTTCTAACGATTTTAGGAAGCCTGCATGACGTTGGGCTATCTGCAGTTACTCAGAAAGGTTGTTTACCTGCATCTAAGTGCATTTGAGACAACAAACTGACAGAGAAGACGAAGGACCTCACCTGACAATGACGGTTGCAATGATGCCATTCACAACTGTCTTGTCACACTGAACACCGCTTGCTATCCACGCGGCCCCCAGAGAAGCCCAGACCATCTCTGGCAGAAAGAGCGCTAGGCGGATGTAAAGCAGTTTAGACATAGATTTCCGCGGGCCAGGATTACAAATGGTTCCTGAAATACACAAACATTCAAACTGGTGACTTGCCTCCTCAGAGATGAAGAGCCTCCTCTCTACAAAAACATAGCTATTAGAGCACATATCTGTACTGTACACACACCAGCATCTGAGTTTTTCTACTTGTAATTGGTAAGCAATGCCTAAATTTGAAAGTGACAAAGTGAGGAAGGGGAAACATGACAAAAAGCCTCAGATTCATTTCTTAGGCTTATCAGGGTTTAAAAACACTTCTAGATTCTAACTAGGGTGACCATGTAATCACTGTCCTAACTGGGATACTTTTGAGTGAAAGGTGCTATTAATAATTATGCTAGGACAACCGGCATAAAACAGAAGTGTCCCAGGCAAACAGAGATGCACGGTCACCCAAGTCCTAACAGCCAGGAAAAGAAGCTCCACCATCTATTCGAGACCTGTATCATTCCAGGCACCATCCGAAATGCTTTACACTCATTATTCTTTAACTCTCGCAACAACTGTGAGACAGTCACCATCCCATTTCACAAATTCGGAAACTGAGGCTACGAGAGTTTAGTAACTACTTTCTGAAATATAATCCAGGTCTGCATGACCCAGTCTCTCTGCCTCACCAATGCTGCCATGATCCTCGCTTTTGGGAAGTGACCAATTCTGACATGTGCGACCACTTGAAGAAGGCTAACATTCAGACACGACATTTCTAACTGCACTTGCAAAACAAATCCAAGTATCAACAGAGGCCTGTGCGCTTTAATTCCTGATGTAAAACATCAATTTTCTCCCTTTGGGAAAAAGTTGCAATAAACAGTAATTTAAGTAACATAAAAATGCCACATAATTAAAACAAAAACAATGATTGAAAAAATCTAAGAGCTAAAGAATGATTTGGTAAGGAAATAGCTTTTGAATTCCAAAAATTACCTTCCATTAGAATAAATTTCTTAGAGTCACATTTTAAAATATTAGACACCATCAGGCCTCATTTTTGCCACAAAGACAAATTTTTTTTTTTTTAAGATTTTATTTTTTCCTTTTTCTCCCCAAAGCCCCCTAGTACATAGTTGTATATTCTTCATTGTGGGTCCTTCTAGTTGTGGCATGTGGGACGCTGCCTCAGCGTGGTTTGATGAACAGTGCCATGTCCGCGCCCAGGATTTGAACCAACCAAACACTGGGCCGCCTGCAGCGGAGAACATGAACTGAACCACTCAGCTACGGGGCCAGCCCCAGCACAAAGACAAAATTTTATAAGGTAACTGAAACAGCACTCCCTCTGAGGGACAATGAGTGCAGGTAAGGAAAAAATCAGTCCTGCATTTGGAGCTTGTTATTGTATAACAACAGCCAATCACCGGAGGAACAGGAAACAATATCTGCGCACATGTGTGCGTGCACACGCACCAGCACGCACGCACACACACACACACACCCGTTTCCTGGATGGCTGGGATTCCAAATGAGGGAGCACCCTAATGCCGTCAGCAGCACCTGGACCTGAAACGCCAACATACTGATACTGCATGAATGAAATAAATACGTAAATAAGGAAGCAGGAAATGGAGTTCTGATTAAGGTTCCAAAAAAGAAACAAAATACTGAAAAAGTCTCCTTTGAATAGTTATGCCTGCATGGGAAAACATTTTTATTCCATTTAGCTATTTATTTTCTTCTCAACATAGAGTTGCTGGTGTGGACCTGGCTGCTGCAGTGGGCACTGTGATGTGGATGCCCCATCACTAACAGGCAGAGCTGCATCTCCAAATGTGATGTCCTCAACCCCTATGGTCCTTCATCAGGCATAGCCATTTCCGTTAGAGCAACGAAAAGAAGGCCTATGTCACGGGATCTCTGGATCCAACACCTCTAGCCACTGCAGTAAGTCAGGCATCGCTTAACGACAGGGAGACACTGAGAAAGGCGTCGTTAGGCAGTTCCTTCACTGTGCCCACATCAAAGAGTGTACTCACACAAACCTAGATGGTTTGGCCGACTACACGCCTAGGCTATAGGGTACTAATCTCATGGGACCACTGACTGAAATGTCCTTATGCAGCACATGACTGTGAGCTTCTCCAGCATGAGATGAGCAATGACCTCCTGAGATGCAAACGCAGAGGAGATGCTAGAGGTCCCATGATCAAACCAAACACGGCAAATGTCAGACCCTGGACGTCAAGGGTGTTCTTCTATCAAAACATGGCAGTCGTGAGGGTGGATCTTCCCCAATTAAACCTCCCACATGGTAGGAACAGTAGGATTTGATCAGGGAGGGTCTCAAATCAAAACTAGAAACTACCACAACAATATCAAGATTCTTCCCAACTAAGCTATGTTGATGACCAAGAAAAAGAAGACAGGTAAATACATAAGCATCAGTCTTTCGGATAAAGATGACTCAATTCTATTTGTTCCAAACGCACCCTCTACAACTTGTGGTGTTTCTTTTAGAGAGGTGTATCAGCCAAAAGCTAAATAAACATGGTCTTCAGCTCAAATGACAGATTAACTATCAAGACGACTTATGAAACAAAAAGGGTGATGGAAGTTATCCATGTATGAAGAATAAAATTTACCAATGTGTTAAGTTATTAAAAAATATACCTAAAATTTACAATTTGTAAAAGAACACTGATTTTGAGCAGGTAATGAACGTAAAGGGTAAAAAGTTCAAACAGTTCAAGTGGGTATAACGTAACTGTTACACCTTCCTCCTACGCTGAGCCTCAGCCTTTCAGTTACCTTCCTAGAAGTAAACGAGTACCTTGTGTGGCCTCCCAGAGTCTGCGCATAAACAAAACATGTAGCATATACCCTTTAGGGAAAAGTAGCAAACTACATACAATGTCCTGTACTGCAGCATACTGGAAATCATTCCTTCTCTGCTCACTAAGCATTTCTCATTCTTTTTAACAGGTGCACAGGAGACCATCAAATGAATGAACTATACTTTACCGGACCAGTGGCCTATTGACAGGCACTGAGTTTATTGCACTCTTTCCTACCTACAAACAATACTGCAATGAACGTCCCTACAAGCACTTCTTTGCCACATGCAAATGCATAGGAAAACACTGACAGATACACACACAGAGTCAACCTGGGCTTCCAAGAGAGTCAACCAATTTATATTCCCATCAACAAAACGAGCTGCCTGTTTCTGCACAGCCTCACCAACTCAATGTATTATCTAGGAGAATTTCTCTTATTAGGATTGAGACTGAACATTTTTTATACATGTAAAAGTCATTTATATTTATTTTACTGTTCATGATCTTTGCCCATTTTTCTACTGACTATTGGTCTTTTTTTATTTATTGTAGAAGCCCTTCTATATTAAGGAAATTGGCTCTAAGTTTCATGTGTTACAATATTTTTTCCCATTTATCTTTTTTGTTTTTTATGGTATTTTCACTGACGTTTACATAATATTTTTAATAAAGTGTACGATGTCAATTATTTATAATAAATTGGCAATTAAACTAACATGTCTTTATAAAATATTGTTTTCAGTTCAGTTGTGATTCTCTCTCGCCACAAGTAACAGAAAACCCAACTCCAGCTGGTTACTAACAGGAAGGACTCACACTGACGTCGGGGACGGGAAGTGCAGAGCCAGGACAGGCAGCAGCGCTCCTGTGCTCCTCACCGCCCTGCCCTCCTCTGGATGTCAGCTCATCCCGGCTGTGAGTGGAGATACAGCAGGAATTCAGCTCATCCGTGCACAGCATCACCCAAAAGGAAAACAAAAGGTTTCTTCTGGATCTTTCCTAGAGGAGCAAGGAAGGACTTCCCCAGAATTTCCCAGGAAACTCCCTGAATTTCACTGGCCCAAACTGGGCCACACGTCCATTCCTGAGCTGGGCGGAGGGCCAGCTTCTCCGACACATACTCTTGGTATACGAGGGATGGGGGGACGTCCTGAATAAAACGGGGTTCTGTTTGGAGGTGGCTGCTGGACAGACAATCCACCCATAACATCCTGTATGACCGGCAGATGTTTTCCGAGCTCCGATCACAAGTATGATGGTGCAGGCAGTGTGTGAGGCCTAGAAGGAGGAGCCTGGGTGAACATGGCCATCCATCATGGGGTGTGAACGTGCCCTGACACCACCACAAACACCTGAAGGAAAACATTTAGGGACAAGAAAGCTTACACTTACTGCTTCAAATCTGAACCCACTATTACAGTTGTAAACTTGGTATACCAAAGAGAATGTGACAGGAACAGAAAGGGCAAATGGTTTAGATAACGCTGTATCTGAAATGACACCAATCTAAATCCTTCATCTTTCAGAAGTTCTGACTTCATTAATAACTTCATAGTGCTAAAACCACATCATCCACATTCAGTTCCTTCCCTTCCTTCAACATCCAGCACCAATGACAATCCAGACTTGGGGACCGGCACAGACCACCAAACTGGGACCTTCTTTGAACCAGACCCCATGCATTCATGTTTTCAGAGGTACACTAAAGTACACAGCACTCTATTTTCTAGATATTACTATAGTAAGCGGGCAAATGCCACGATTCTTGGTCATCCAAACCCTAAGGTCTTTTTCTCATGAAACATTTCGCCCCTAACATTTCTCTCTTTATTTCTCCCCATGAACTAGCATCTTTTAAGTTCCAGTCTGTCATTCCAAACTGTCAAGATCCTGATTTTGTCACCTATCTATCAGCTACACCCTCCCAGTTTTATCCTCCTCATCATCTACAATCTCTAGGCATGCCTCCTACACCCCGATTCAAGCAGTGATAAAACACTGAAACACTGGATGGTGGCATGCCATAGAGCCCTGCCTTTGACTGACAAGTTTTATTTTTTAATGCATTTCTTTATTAGTCACCAGAGTGCTCAGCTCATCCTACAAACCAGAGGAATCGAATAGGTAAGGTTTCCAACATTTTCAGAGACATTCTCAGTTAAGTGACTGTATGCAAAAAACAGTACATGTAGTAAAAAATTATCATTAAGAATAGATGTAACTCTTACAATTCACTAATAAAGGGACACATAACTCAATTGAAGATTAGGCAAAGGATCTGAATAGACATTTGTCCAAAAATAACATACAAATGGCCAATAAACATATGAAAGGATGCTCACTACCATTAGTCATCAAGGAAATGCAAATCAAAACCACAACAAGATACCACTTCACATCCAGTAGGACGGCTATGATCAAAAAGTCAGATAATAACAAGTGTTGGTGAGGATGTGGAAAAATTGGAACCCTTATAAACTGCTGGTGGGAAAGAAAAATGGCACAGCTGCTTGGAAAACAATCTGGCGGTTCTTCAGAAGATTAACCACAGAGTTATCAAATGATCTAGCAATTCCACACCTAGGTACACAGCCAACAGAAATGAAAACATGTCTAGACAAAAACGTGTATGTGAATGCTCATGGCAGCATTATTTGCAACAGCCAAAAAGTGGAAACAAGACAGATGTCCACCAACTGAGGATGGATAAATAAAATGTGGTATAACAGTTCGATGTAATATCACTCAGCCACAAGAAGGAATGAAGTGCTATATATGCTATAACATGGACAAACCTTGAAAACATTTTGTCAAGTTTAAGAAGCCAGACCAACAGGCCACACAGTGGATGATTCCACCTATATGACATCCAGAATAGGCAAATCTATAGACAGAAAGTAGATTAGCGGATGCCTAGGGCTCAGGGAATTAGGGAGAAATGATGAGTGACTGTTAATAGGTACAGGATTTCTTTTTGGGGTGACGAAAATGATCTAAAATTGTGCTGATGGTTGTACAACTCTGTGAAAATGCTAAATATCATTGAATTGTACACTTTAAATCATCTGGTGAATCATATGGTATGTGATTTACAGCTCAATAAAACTGCTAAAAAAGACCAGACGTCCAACAGAAAAGGCCAGTCTACCTTTCATGCTGACATGCACGATGGCTGACACGGTACATATCACCACCGCCAGGAGAACCATGAGAACGATCAGGTAACTGCTGAGCAGGACCCCGCCGGCACAGTCCAGCTTCCCTCTGTGCATGAGATACAAAGCCAGGATGCCGATCCACCTGCCGAGAAATAGGAAGGGTCAGAAATGGAATGGCATGAGCTGCGTTGTAAAACATGATAGAAACACGGAAAAGTTAATATTTTCCCAAACAAGGCGAGGTTCGCTTTGGAATATAATTTTCATCAATAAAACATCCACTAAGTCAACTGAAGAGTATGACTTTTTTCTTTTTAATGAGTTTTATACATTCTATGCATACGTAATTGGTCTTATTCTATGCCTGCTGTAATACACCAGAAGCATTTAAAGCCATAAGCAAGCAAATATAATGTGAGCTGCTGGAAAACAGCCCCCATTGTGACTCAGAAATACCCAAGTGGTAAGCCAACAACCTATATGCTTGGCTAACTTATTATTATTATTATTATTTTTGGCTAAATTATTAAGAAGAGAATTTTTCCTTCTGTGAATTAACAAGAAATTGATAAACACCCATTGTCATCTGCTGTGCGCAGTACAAAAACGAGGGGGGCGGGATGCAAGCTGTGCAAGGATGCTCCACGGTGAACACACAAACTGGAAAGGAAAAGTATTGCGGACTCATAAAAGTATGTCACAACTCAGTGCAAAACACTGAAAAACAGCACCAAACAATGCAAAGTAATACTGACCCATCACCAGGACTATTGCGGCAGAGGGCCCAGCGCTGTTTGGCAAGAACTCCGGATGAACGATTCAAGCCCAGAGGAGGAACCGGATTAGATACCTTTTAACGCTTTTGTCAGTTTTGTGATATTATGACTCCGTGTCTAGAAATAATACTGGGAAATGATCTCGGAAAGACTTGGCCCTGAAAACTACTGAGGAGCAGCTCATAACATTTCGTGCCTTTGTATTCTTTTCCCTTAAGGAATCTATGTTTGTAACAATGATATTACTCCCTGCTCAGACCCTCTGGGAACAGACTTCAGGGACCCAATTCCACTTCCCACCGATTCCACCCTTTGAAAGACAAGAGCATATACACCACGCCTGTTTGCTTCTCATGGAATCCAGCCACCCCCGGCTCAAGAACGGCCCTGAAGGGGGTTATTTCCCATCTTTCAAGGGCAGATGGGAGATGCTGTGCGTTTCCACGCAGAGCGCCCGCATGATGCCAGCGGCGGCTCCTGGCTGAGGAAGGAGACCCCGAGGCCCCGGCTCCGGTGGGCAGCGAAGTCCTGGCGGCTCCCGGGGGAGGGGTACTCATGCCCCGCAGCGCGGCCATCGGGCCCCCCGTGTGACCCGGGCACGGCCGACCCGCCCGGGGACTCAGTCTGCCACCTGTAAAACGAGGGGAGTAACAGCAGACCTCCTCGGGCGGTACAGACGACCCAGGGCCCCGCGTGGACGCGCAGGCCCCCGGCCACACTGTCACCACTCGCGGACGCTCGCCCCTCGCTTCCTCCTCGGCCCCGGCCGCCCGGCCGCAGAGCCGGCGCCCTTACCACAGCACTCGCAGGAACAGCTCGAACAACCCCGGGAAGACCAAGTCGTCGCTGGCGAAGGCCCAGCGCCGGCCGAAAAGCACCATTCCGGGCATGGCGAAGGCCCCGCCGCCCGGCCTCGGGCCAGCCCGCCGCGCGCCTGTCAACCCTCCGAGCCCGGCGCCCTCCCGGCTCCACCGCCAAACTAACCGCAACTCCGCGCAGGCGCACGCGAGGGCGGAGCTCGGCGCACGCGCATTGAGCCCCGTGAGGCCGCAGCTCGATCCTCTGCGCCTGCGCAGATACTCTGACCTGGAAGGAGCTGTGGTATTTGTTCTCAGGTTTGCATGTGGGTCAAGTCCGTCCTGCTAACCCTACAATTTTATAGATAAGGACTCTTGGGGTTGCCACGGCTGTTACTGGCAGATGTGGGGCTCGTCCCAGGTCTGTGGGACTCCAAGCCTGTGACGAAGTTGCCCTCTCGGTGCCCCCTGCGGTCAGGAGTGCGGCGTTAGGACACTTCTGGAGTTCAGGGTCTGAAACCACCCTGCAGCTTGGGCCTGGGGGCATGGAGAATAGCTTGATCTGCCCTGCGTCCTCTCAAGCAGGCGGTCGCCCAGTACGAAGGTTCTGATTGATGAGGATTATTTTAGGCCAGTTACTTTTAAAAACTGCAGACCAGAAGGAGGCTCTGAGGTGTGGAATTTGCTTGCCCTTTGATGAGAGAGATTTGCATTTGTGAAGGAAGTCTCCATCTGTGGGGGGTGTCTCCCTCTCTGCACCAGGAGGAAGGGGGCATGACCTTATCTCTAGAAACTCTTAATGGGGACGGCAAGGACTTAAGTCTTGTTTATTGTGCGTGTCTGGTAACCTCATGTAGCTGACCCCCCCCATCACCAACTGATATGGACCCTGATATCAGTTTCCCCACATTAAACCCAGCATATATGGGGTTAAAACCAAAACACTCATTCCCTGCTTACTCTCTGGCTTCCTGGCTCCACAATCCACTATCCTCCATGGAGACAGACACAGTCAAGGACAAGCACCTGGACTATCTCCTCCCACAAAGAGATACGGGCTGGTGGGAAAGCTGCTGACCAGCAAGGTCACGAGCTCCCTCCTCTCTGCAAGTGTCTCAAGGCCAAAGACAGGCTGGTGGGAAAGCTCCAACCAGCAAGGCCATATGCTCCCCCTCCCCTACCTAAAATCCCAAATAAAAACCCTTCCTTTTAGCTTTTCGGGGAGTTTGGGATTTCAGCATTAGCTGCCCTCTCTCCTTGCTCAGCGCTGTGCAAAAATAAAGTTCCTGCTTTCTTCCACCACCCCCGGTGTCAGAGATTGACTTGCTGCACAACAGGTGAGCGAACTCACTTCAGGTTCGGTAACACAACATCCTCCGGGAAGCCTAGGAGATCCTGACTTAATCTGGTCTGATTCTTATCTAAAGTTATAGGACCACCCAATAGCCAGACCCCACCTGCACTGATACTATTTTAATGACTTTTTACATATTCTTTCCTTTGTCTGGTAAAGAGATAACTCGCATACCTATGCCTTAAATTTAGCCCTACCCTCAACCCATGTTTGCAGCCACAGCCGCAGTGGCAGCAGCTCCTCCTGCCTGTGGGTCCTGTCCCCATGCTATTCCACACTGTTCTCTAAATAAAAGAGCACTACTGCCAGGCCTTGAGAGTCCAAGAAATCTTTCTTTCCATGACTCGGCTCACCGACCCGCATCATTTCTGGTGGCCCGTAAGGGGATCTTGCTTCAGGGGATGTTGCTTCAGGGGATCTTGCTTCATCGGCTTGTGAGATCGAGTTCTGGTAAGTGCCCTTTTTCCTTGTGCATTTCTCTTTTTCAAGGATGGATCTAAATTCACTTCTCCATCGGGAACTTTCTTGGATGGCTGTATGAATCCACGTTTGCTGCCTATGGCTACTCTATGGGGCAAATCATGGCATTCAGCTTGAAGAGAATCGGAACCTTAAGCCTCAGGGTGATGTAGAATGAATTAATCCATTCCTTCCTGACTCTATCTCTAATATATAAATTTTACATGGTCATGGGTCGACCACTTACGTCATTAGGGTGGTAGCCAATCTCCAAGACTCCCGTGGAAGCTTTCTTTTCCTAAGGCTGGATTGGCATCCCTCCCTATGGCTCCTGAGCACACTCCGAACCACAGGAAAGTCCCAATCAGGACTCCGGTTCAAGGAAAGTACCAAACTCTAACCTTTGGTTGAGTATGGGAACCCCTTCTTGGGAGAATGGCTCCAGGATGCAATTGGGTAGAATGTCCTCCAGACCAGCGGAAAATTCCTCACTGTTTTTCTCTATTCTTTTATCTCTGGGACCATTCACCAGGCACCTATTACTGCCAGGCATAATAGGGAAGATATACAAGGGATGCAATGCTGGGGGATGCCCCCATCACGCCTTGCTATAGGAACCCCACAGGAGGAACGACGGGTAGGACACTGCCCTAGGTTCAGGGGAGATTTTCAAGGTAATGGACCCATTTCTTTCGTCTCTCTTAGCG